AACGGAAGCGCCGCTTTAACGGTTCGAACCACTTTCGTAGAGCCCGGGAAGAGAGTGCAGTGAACGAGCACTCGACGGTGCACTCTAGAGCTCACGAGTACCTTTGCTACGTATCGGCGCAGGCTGCTGGTTCGCGTGCGCATCAAAATATGTACGCAAATACGACATGAATGCAACACTCGTCACTCTTTCTTCACATTTAGCCCTGATATTTCTAATAAAACGTGACGAACAAGACCTCTGGCTAAAATGCGATGCATAAATTGCGGTTCTCGTGCATTTATGAGAAAACTGAATCTGTAGAAAATATGAGTAAAAACTATGGAATATTAAAAGACTGCATATTATTCCCTAATTTAATCAGGTGTTCTAGAAATTAGTTTAATAAGAAATTGTAGTATTTGTATAATTTCTGTTAACAATCATTTTGAATTGCCTTCGAAATTCGTCCTAGATTAGTGCAGTGCTTTGCGTATGACACTCTCGTCGCACCTTGTGGCAATGGTGTCAATGGCGAAGAACGAATATAATCGGTACGGAGGAGATCCGGACCCAATAACAAGCCTGCTTATCTTTATTATGCGAACAACATCGATTCTTCAAGGCTACGTAACGAAATCAATAATCAATTACACTTCTAATGCGGCATTTGCTGTAGTTAGTTTTACTGTATTACTCAACTTTCAATTAAACGTCATGTCCCCGCGTTCCACGAAAAGATCTGTGAGTAGACTACGGATTTTATTAATTTATAAGATAATCGAAGGATAAATGCTGCCAGTGATGTACAAGACTATTCAGAATATCAGAAGCTGAATAAATGTACATTTCAGTGTTCAGATGATAAAATGCGTTTATATAAAATACACTTTTTCAATTGACACTATAAACGTTTATGAGAAATAAAAATTTTGCAAGATCTGTCTATGGGGATCACGTAGGGGAAAAAGAGGGATGACGCGAGGAACGCGTTTCATCGTTTCGAAGGAGGTTCTTTTATTGACAAGCGCGAGTGCATATCACGGGCATAAAGGTCATCGGGTGCAAGGAATTAATCGAGCTTCAGCAACGAGGGAACGGGCGAGTAATCCCGCGTTGGATAACCCGCACGGGCCGGCGACGCGACGGCGATGATTAAAAACGAATATCCCGGAACGCTATTTTCGCGAGCAAATGCGGATCTCCGCGTAGCGATGAACAGGACGAATAAAAGGCGTCGAATGGCGCGAATAATACGACGAGAAACAATAAGGGAAGCAGACGTGCTGCCGTTGATTTGACGATTCCAATGCTCACCTTAGTCAAAACGTCCTACCTACATTTTTCGCTACTTCGTATCATCGTTAAATAAAATTTATTACATTTCTGCTTCGAATCTATTAAAATATATTCTACACACCTTAAAGCGTAGCTACGATTTGGTTTATTATGATAGCATTGAGATTTTAGATTAATATCTTATCAGCTATTTGAAGGTAACTTCGAACGTTGTGATCTCACTTTAAAAGATATAAAACTGTTAAATATTTGATTCTGTCTTTAAAAAAGATGTTTTTTAATTTGAAACATTTATCTACACCCTATCTAGCAATTAACTATTTGTCAATTAGAACGTCTTAAGGGCAGCGTCCTTGTTACCCTTTTTCCTTCCCTACCGCACACTTCCTTTACCCCTGCGTTTCTGTTTTACTCATAGCGCTTTTATTTTGGAAACGAATACACGCGGCAGGAACAGGAAACGCCATGGGAGAGTGAGCAAATCGGTATTCCATGGCTGTGTCACGACGAGACGCCGTGGCCGGCGAGCAACCAAACCGGACTTGTGTTAGCCCTCGAACCCTTCTCCGCTAACGACGCCCGATTTTCGCTTTGCCGAGCTCGTTTGCATTCGAGACAGGTAATTAGTAATTACTACTACGGATTTTTATGCAAAATACAACGTCCGCTGTCTAGTAATTACTGATTTGCTGGCGCATCTTGCATGTACTCTGAATTAGAAACCAGTCTAGACCAAGTTAAAAGGTAGAGTTCAAGTTACGCTTTACAACTCATAATGCAATTAACTATTCCCTTCTGATTAAACAACTTTTTCCTTCGATTTTGTTCAAGGCATCTCTGACTGATCGGGCTGCGCCGTTGAATGCAAATCTGTTCTCCAGCGTGCGACGTGAAAAAATGTTATGCGGGCTCGGGACGAGCGGCAAGCGTGAACGGAGTGAGCGGACTTGGACGATATCGATTTCGTACGAGTGAATCGATATCCGTGGCTCGGATAGCGGACACCCAGGCTACGAATCGAAGACTCGGTCACGGGGCGCTTAACGCCTCGAGAAAGTCTTTCTTTCTCCTATGGAGTGGAACAGGGGGACGACTGGACTAAGGAACCGTCCACGTGTTTTTCGTCGTTACCATCCGGTGAAAGACGTTGTTAACGTCGCGTCGAATAACCAGCTTCCAGAGAGATCTTAATGATTCTTTCTTGAAAGTTGTACGTTAAAAACAAGAACGATTCAACCGGATATTTCACGATATTTAGACTGTCGATTTTAATCGTCTATATACAAAATATTATTCAGATAAAATAATAACATCCATTACGTTAAATATTGAATGCATTTTCAACAAATACAAATGTTTAGTGATGTCTTAGTGAAAAATAAATTTGACAATTTCAACGTTACATTATCATCATCACGATTAAGAAACCTTTCCATAAAATCAGTGTAACCACGCGTGTATTTATCACGAAAAGTTTTTTCATGTAAGTACGAGTCGCTCATTGAGACGAGATTGGCACAGATTCTGTAACGCGTTGAACTGGAGTAAGCGAATCGAAAGGCATTAAATTCCTTGTTCGTATTGGACGCGTGATAGATTCGATGTAAAAGGGGAAATCGAGGGTCGGACTCGTTACTGTCGAGCAACGTAGAAAATAAAAGCCAGGAACGGTATTCGGCCAGCGAGACGTCAACATCCGTCCGGCCGATGAATGAGAGCATTTGAAACAGGAAATTCGCCGCGCGGAAAACGAGTGCCGCAATCTGGAGGGCCTTCAAAAAGGTTTTAACCGAGGAAACAGGAGAGAAGCGGAGCGCGGATGCTCGATCGTTCGATCCGTATCGAAAAATCGACTGCGAACGCTGGCAAAGATTGCGAACACGACCCTACAACGCGATGGCAAAAGCTGGTATCTAACCATTCACCAGTCTCTGTTCCGTGCGCTAAAGGGACCCATGATTTAATGCGCGTTCGTTCGTACTCGACGCTTCTCCCGTACCCGACTATGAATAACCCGAAGGTAATTTCCTTCCGAGATGCTCGAGAAAACTCGCTCCCAAGCAGCTCGTGTGCACCAGCACGCTTCGTGAAAAATGATTTGCATTCGACCCGAGATACTTTGATTCAAGGACCAATTCCTCAAAGTTAATTACCACGCGAGTGAGCTGATTAAGAAGTCGCTCGTTGTAACGACGAACTGTTGTTGTACGGGTCATTTACACAACCTTAAGAACTTCGATCGAAGATGCTACCCAACTTTTTCAACGTTCAACAAATTTGGTCTAAAAATATTTTCTCCGTAAGTAAAGAGATTAAGATTAGAATAGACAAGGTCAGAACAGAATTTGCGCCACGGAGGGAAATCTGGTTGACGAGATTCCACGGCGAGGCTGAGAAACAGTGGAACGGAGCAAGGCGCTGCTGCATCGTGAGGAAAACGCATTGTTTAGGGTCCGCGCTTCCACCGAGCGACCAAGGTGGGTGTGTCACGAGCGTGAAATACCGACGAAGTGACGACGGCGACGGTGAGAGAGCCCACTTGGCCGATACTCGAGTCCGCGTCGTACATTTCAGTAGACCTCGTTTATTTGATCCCTCAGCTCGCGCCGAGGATGCCCCGGCTCCATTGCTTGCGCGAATTAATTACCTTCGTGCTCTGTGGGCCGCAAAGCGTCCCAAGGACTAAAACGCAGCGGTTCAATTAAAAGTTCGTCGCTTCCGAAAAAGCGAGCGTCGCGTACACACAAGTCCAGCGAATGCAAGCGAGATGTTTCCATTAGAGAGACTCCGACCTCTTTAATTTCAAACGAGCACTTCCCCGTAAAATCGATTATAAATTCGACTAGGCAACCGTTCGGCAATAAAAGCGACCACTCGACCGACTATACTCTCGCTTCTCTTTTGATCTTTCCCAGCTTCATAAACGCCGCACGGAATGCTCGCTCAGAAGCGAGCCGAACACACATACAACGCGACGCTGATATTGCGTTACGCTATCCATTAGCATTATTAACCTTATTGCGTTATAATTGCATTGGCTGACGACTGTGCTTTCACCAGCCGAGAGATTAATACGTGTCGTCGCGTTTATGTCTAAGACTCGCAACACGGCTCCGAAGTCCGAAACGATTATACGTACGGGACAGAGTCTTCATATTCTATTCGAATTTTCGAAGTTCGCTCCGGCTGGATTCTCCCGATAACGGAGATTCCTGGTGCCTCGTTGCACCGCGATCAAGGTTCACCGCGACATCTAACAGTCACCTGCACAGTTCCCGGTGCAGCGGACCCATAGATGCAGGAGTGCATTCGGTTTGCAGCTCACAGGGGATCGCGCTCGGAGGCTCACGCCCACGATTTTCAAATGATTCATTAATTACGATTAAATCTGAATCATAACCGCTCATGAATAAACGCGAGACCATTCTTATTTTTGCCCTATAGTCAGCAGGTTCAAGCAAATTTTTGTCTTCTCTCGTTGTTTAAATAGTCACGAGCTACACGGAAATGCCGTTAATTGAACACCAAACAGTAGCGAGTAAATAACATGGCAGCATATGAGCAGATACGACAGGTATTATACATATGTATATCAACTTCTTCGATGTACGCAATGATTTACACGTTGACGAGTCAATACGGATGGACGTTTATCGACAAGGGAAACAGCATACAACAGAGGAGAGGGACGAAAGCATGCATCGATCGATTTCAGTACTCACCTGCAAATGGGCTTCTGATCGTCACGTTCATCCGGTAGATTCAGGAAATTGCCGTCGTTCAACGCCGAAGACGTCGATCCGCGTGGCGACCTTGGGCCGCCCTCCGGTTCCCCGATCAGGACTTCTGTTTGACCATTTTGGAAAGGGCTGCTGGCGCGTCGCTCACCGACCCTACCACCCTGCGCCGGTGTCTGCAAGATGAATCACCGACTTTTCATCCCTCGCGAATTGCACCTCCAAGTATCAAGCATCACTTCACGATCGAAACTATCAGATTGCAGATTTTTATGCGAAATAAGAAATTTGTTAATTTAAAAATTGAAATGAACAATTCGCAGGCGGTTTCGATCAGCAGCCGTTATTATACTTCTAACAAATGAAAGTACAATACAAACATATTTCATCTAAAATCTTCGTATTTCAAGTACAATCTTCGTATTTTAGCAAATTGCTCTTCCGCGATTCATCTACGATCTCACGTTCATCTATGTACTCGTTAGAATAACGTTGATGAATGTATTGTCAACAATTTCAAGGTAACCGTCGAGAAATCTCTACATTAAAATCTCTCTTTAAAGAGAATGCATACTTGGAAAATTTCGATGTGAATTTTAATGCAGAGGTTTTAGTGTCGAGGTAAGCAACGATTTCCCAGTTCATTTTTACGGAATTATTCGCGGCGTCGCCCGCGATTAATTATGCAGGAATTACAATTCCGGGAAATGTTTACCACGCGCTTAACCAATCGCGTTTACATAAGCGACGGAGAAATCATTTTTAGCTGAAAGGCGAGGATAACAGCGAAATACACCGAGTGGTTTCAAGGATTTTAAACCATGGATACATATCGTCGCTCTTTACTTTTTCCCAAGTTATTAAAATATGTTATATCAAATACTAATAAAAAACACATTGTTTCACTTCATTAACGTCCCTTTGAACAACCATTTTATTTCACAATTTAAAATGTATTGCCAAGTGAACACAATAAGAAATGGATTAATTAAATCCTCGGGCAGAAAAATTGCTTGTTTTCAGTGAAACGTAGCAATAAATTTCACTTACCAGAAGATTAGTTTCTTCAGGATGGCTCTGTTGTTTCTCCGACGCGTCCTTAACTTCCTTCGCGTCTTTCCCTAAGCCCTTCGGGATGATACCGTTGCTGAGCTTGGGCGTAAAGGCATTCGTGGTCGGTTCCCTGAGACAGACGGTATCGTCGACCTTAAAATCGGCTGTTCCCGATACGTTCGCGAAAAATAAAAAAAGGAACGGTCCGACGGTATGCGCGGTTGCATTCGCAATGGGATATCAATCACGCCGATCGCAATTTCTCGCATCCGGTCTGTAATTTGCGCTTCCCATCGCGGTGTGCTACGAGTTTTCACGTTTCGCGGTACGACGAACAATGTTTCGATCCGTCGAATCGAATCGAAAACCGTTAAACTTTTGATTAGTCCGTAGTTGAGCTACAAATCAGATCTACTTTCGATTATCCACGCTTGGGTATTTGAAGCAGTAACAGGGAGAAAAAACTGGAAATATACTATGCGTTAACGTGTAGTGGTAGCAAGAACGAGGAAGCAGAAAATAGAAAAGTATTAACGGCGGAATAACGGAGGGAAGAGAAACTGCAAGAATGAAATGGCACTTACTTGTCGGCAAGCGTCACGGTAATTTGGTTGCCCGTCACATTTTTGCCCGCGCTGTCCCCGCTCGTGGACGCATAGGCCTCGTTGACCTGCGCACACAACGAAACGCAACCGAACAATCAGCTGTGGCTTACACCTCACTACCGGCCGACCGCTGTTTCTCGCGGAGAAACAAAGGGATTCTCGATCGATGCACCCTTTCTCTCGGCTTTTTTTGCTCTCCTCATCGCCCTTTGCTCGACACACGACGCGGCAGGGAAAACCTCAGAAAAAAAGGCGGAAAATTGTTTCATTCTCACTCTGGTAACGGTTTTCGGGCCACAACCTGTGGAACATGCGAGCTGCACTCGCCCAAGGCCGTGCATGATCGCGGACACGCCGTTCACTACGCTCGTTTACTTTGCATTCCGCATATATCATAAGCAATGTCCGTGACGATTTCCCTGTCGGTCGACTGATACGTCGCGTAGCATCGGAACATCGCAGCATCGTCATTCGCGAGATAATCGGTTGTACCGATTAGAATGCGTGTTTGATACGAGCCAAGTTAAACACGTATACGGGATAGGAACTAATTGTTTGAATACAATAGAGGCTGCCGAGCGATCGGCTGCATTATCTCACGAAGCCACTGCTCCAATCGAGCCGCTATCGATTGGCCGTTTTTATCCGCACGCTCGCTTCTCCGCCCGGTTCTCTCAACCGTTTGTCGTGACATACACGTATTTTCGAGTACCTACGACGGTCCAGTGTCCAAATTAATATTCGCATTCAATTGTACCCGTAAAGATGTATATCCGCGTGTATCGCGTCATAAACTGACAAACGTTATCATCGTACATAATCACAGTAAGTGATAAATAGTTCTAATATTGAGGACCAAAACAGGATGTATAAGTCTAGAATGCATGTCACGTTGATACAAGGATATGATACAAGTGGATACACACTTTGAGTTTGGTTTTAATTTAAGTTTTAATTTCTGGCTTCCATAATTGGACCAACATCTTCCTCTTAAAACTAATTAACTGAAGAAAACAAAAGGAGACGGAGTTTCGATGAATGCGGAATAACAGCTTATCGAAAATCGATAATGAAAAGATCTGAGGGGACTTGTTAAAACAATCTAATAACAGGAGACGGCTATTCGCTTGTGCGATTCATTACGTAAATCTGAAGTATCTTTTCCCGATCGGTGAAAGGTTCGCGTAATCTTCTTTACATGAACCTATCGAAACGTTCGAACTGCAAAGGGCAAGTAGATACACATATAATTGCTCCTCTTACCTGCGGGTGCAGAATCGCTTCTATATCCTGCAACTGAATTCTCCAGTGGGACACCAGCCGCTGCAGTTCCTCCAAAGAATATCTATAAGAAATACGCAGTTTCTATTATTATTACTATTGTCTACGAACGTTCCTCCTAAATAAAGAAAAGGCTAATGAGAACTCGGAACGAGTTGCCTAAAATTAGAAGGCTCGACGCGACTCGTAAAGGTCGCAGCAGAAAGTGTCAATGAACTTCGGGATAATACCAGTACATTTTATTGCCCAAGTTACACTTTGATTATTTCTTGTCTTTTCACATACATGGATAGTTAAATATTATATCTGTCTATTTTCTAAAATCATGTGTTAAATTGTCAAAAACATGGACTGTACATTGGCATCCACAAAAGTTCGATTTTCTATTTGTCTCAGTTGTTTTGAGGACAGTGCTTTCTTCGAATAATTTTGAAGTAACGTTTGAAAACAGTTGAAGAGAAATTGGAGTTAAGATACGAAATACTTTCAGGCATTCCGACTGCCGAGTTCGGATTTTAAGCGATACGCGAACGCGGTATGTAATTACATGAAAGTATCGCGAATTTCACTCGCTCCGTTTTGTTAGAAACCTTCGGTTCTCTCTTGTGTACGTAACGTGCACTTAATTACCTTTCGACGGCGATGAGCCAAGCTTTTTGCACCCGACCAGTGTTCAACCCGTCCAGATCTACAACCAACAATTTCAAAACGATTAATCGCAAGCAGGCTCCTTCGCTTAATTTATTTTACATTTACTAGAAACACAGCCCACTGTTACCAGTCTCCCCATTTAATTACCTACGCGTTTCCCTGATTATTTTTGATCATTACGACACCACTTGTGTCCCATTACACCGCTAATGAAATTTCACACAATTTCTGTACGTAATGTCAGGAATTTGTATGTGCATAATGTCATGGAATGTTGTTGGAAACTCGTTGGTTATAACGTAAAGTCAAACATGACATCAATATTAAAAAATTCGTTTTGAATATCATTATTTTCAACGTTGAAATATGCATTCAGTTATTTCAAACAGTTTACAATGTAGTTGCATGTCATTGATGCAAAAGTTTGGAGAACGTTTCGACTGTGTACCATTTTCAAGATCTTCATCTTCTTCATCAATGAACTTGATCGTAGAGAGATCGAAGTGCGTCGCAACGTCCTCCGGTTGCTTGTCGATCGCTGGGAACTCGATCGACTTCGACGTATCGTCGACCGATTCGTCGACGACGAACGTCTGTCCGTCGACCTCCGAGTTCAACGAGCACCCGCAGAGGAGGATTCTGCGAAGCAGCTTCGACATTTTCCCAAAAAACCGTCAACCGTTCATCTTCCACTCAGACACTTTTCGTGGACGAGGAACGAGAACTCCGCGACGCGGTGAGATTAGAAAAACTCGGAGAAAACTGGGAAAACTTCGTCGCGAAATTCGATAAAACTTGTAGACAGAAGGACGAGCGACGCGTTCTCGCGCACGTGTCGCCGGACCATAGAAAATAAACTCTCCAACGGGACCGAGAATGGATGGCACTGCGGGCTTTCCAACCAAGGGATTTATATTTGGAAACGTCTGCATTGGCATCGGGTGTTAAAAATCGTGCAGGAGATACAACACGACGCACCTTACGCCAATGCTAGTACATGACCAGCGCATAATCGATGACCAGCCGATTGTTTTTACTTGTTTGTTTATTTTCTCTGTTTATTGTGTCCCGTTTTGCACAGACAAAATTAATGGAACGTGATCTCCAATAAATATACCCGAATGGTTAATCAGATTATCGTGATTTTGCATTAAACGTTTCATCGATTGTTATTGGACAAAACAGTGGGAGTTGAAATTGAATAAGTCAGCAGAGGACTTCAAAGCGTGTCATTATCAGAGCATTTATAGAAAAACCTCAACGTGAAAAACTGAATACATTTATAGAAAATATTCAGTCATTATTAATAAAATACGTGTACGAATTTCGACCACGGTGTCTCTAATTTTATTTACATTTAAATGCTTTACGAATCGTTTTTTTTAATCCTTCTAAAAATAATTTGATGTATTAGAGATTTGTTACATTGAGTCCGTCTGGACGTGACAGTGTCGCACGGGTGCCACCGGTGGCAATCTTATCACGTCGGAGACACTCGAGTTCTAGGGAAGCAGCCACTGACCCGGAAACGAATTCGAGTCAGCAGAATTTTCATTAATTTCGCCGTCGACGCCAGTCACGATCCAGTGACCACTGTGTTGAATAATAGGATCACGGCTATTAAATTCGGCACCATACATACACCGCGTGAGCACGATTTTACCCGCGATACAGCCTATGCAGCTCGCCGATAAAATTCGACAGTTAAACTTGCTTTCAGCCATTATCGTTTCTACCCTTTGTATCACCGGCTACGATTTATTTAAAAACTGTCCTTCTTTTGGATCTGAAATTAGCAATCTTTGCTATAGCTAGACTGATCGAGTTAAGGATGTATTGGCTATACAGTCAATCCCAAAAGTTTATGCACCTTAGAAACGCATTTTTTAAAAAGAAATCAGACGTCGGAGGACCATTGCTAATAATAAACAACAAAAAAAAAATTTCGATTTTTCCGAGATTTTTCCAAGAGGTATCCCTTCAATTTCTTCCAAATTTTCGTTTTTGGCCCATAACTCCCGAACGGATGGACGTAGGAGGACGCTTGTGGGCTCATTTTGTAGAGGACGACGAGATCTACAATTTCCATGTAAAAACTTTTCGCTAGCGTCAATAGTTAACGAGTAATTTGNATTTTTAATTATATGAAATGCGTTTTTCTCGGGTACATAAACTTTTGGGATTGACTATGTAGCCAATACATCCTTAATGTTAATGGCCAACTGGTTCATTTCTTGTTTAAAAATGTTTTACTCTCAAGTGTTTTGGATTGGAAATTGGCAACATGATACTATGGGTTCAATGTATTTTAGTCACAGGCTTTGCTCGGACTTTGTGACTTCAAAAGCTTTTTCACGATCGGAACCGGCTAAGTCGAGAGAGAAACAGCGAGATAAAAATCGATTTCCTGTTCCTCTGAAGACAGTGAGACGACAGTGTTCGCTGAAATTGACTCGGAACAGAATAGCACGAGGTTGTATTCATTATCATGAAAATGGAAAGGAAAGGTCGCCGGATGATCCATAAAACGCGATAAAAAAAACGGTGTTAGCGATCGACCGAATTATTATGTCGAGTGGACCAGACACAGTAATGGTGATGGTTATTCGAACTTTGCGAGAGTCAGAGATACTTTCTGCAAATACAACTGCCTCGATTCTCAATCGTGACAAAATCTTATGATCCTCGATGAAACTTGGAACTAATAATACGTTTAAAGCCGAAAAGAGGACACGTATGGTATATTGAAAGAGTAGAACTTTAACTAAAGTTGACTGATTAATTACGATCCAGTACAGTATCTCGTTCAAAGTTCGAGCGAAGTGACATGGAACTTGGGATGTAGATTCGAAAGAAGCTTGAGGCCATTGCTAGCCAGGAGGCAATCAAGCTGAGTAGCTGGCTCGATTCCCTACGAAGATCGGGGCCGCGTTTTCACGAGTGACACCGGCGCGGGTTCCTATTCGGTGGCGTTAACGGCGACGATTTATCCGGCCGGTGCACAGGGAGTCGAGGCCAGTGCATTCGCGAAGAAAATTCACAACAATCCGTGCCCTTTCCTTGGAAACTTGGCGCCATGCCAGAACGTGTCCGAATGCGAGTGTAGACCATTTGGAGAAAGTGCAGTAGCCTTTTCGCGGTTGTCCCGGCGGGATGATTTTTCAAGGGCAGATCGAATCAGCCACGCGATTAAAACGTGCTTGAATCTTTTTCTCATCATTTTGCCTCTATTATCGTTTAATTTCTTATTGACAATCAACTTTCTCGTCGTATTGTACCTTTCGCTGTTATCAGAGAACTGTTAGCAGAATCTTCACAATTAAATCTGAATTCATGACACGTGATAGTATTGGTGTGCTTACCAGAGGCTTGGTTCGATTAATCGCCAATTGTTCCGAAGTCTATCAAAAACTCTATTAAGGCGACTCCGATCGAATTTACTGCTGCAGGAGCCGATACACACAGATGAATTCGATATTATTTTTATTAACCGGTTGAAGGAATCCGATTGACCGTAAGAGAACAGAAAAATTTCTGCGATTATCTACAACGATCGTCACGGCACCGTTTTACTCGACCCGAATTCGACATCGGTGCACGTTCGACCGTAACTGCTCGCAATTTTCCGTGAGATTTACTTTAGAGAGCCGCCGAGCACATCGTGAGAGAAAATGTTAATCGCTCTCTCGTTCTTCCCCTAGTTTGCGGCGTTTTGCATTTTCTAGCCTCGTTCGCCGAGGCCAGGCGCCGCGAACTCGAAACTGCCGCCGAAGAACTTCTCCCCGTGGCCGAGACTGCGGCTTTTCTCGCGTAATTTCTCGTTCGCCCTGTTTCCGCGGAGTCAGACGTTTCCCCGGAGCTTTGTCAAGCTCGCGAACGTGACACGGGGAAGGTCACGAGTTGTTTGACCCAGATTTAGCGAATTTTTTGATTACTTGCCCGCCGCATACTCTCTATAACCGGAGAAACGCGTTAGCTAACATATTTATTCGCAATGCGTTTGTCTAACGCCAACAAAATTTCCATAGTTTATTCAATTTTCCAAGAGAACGATCTTCCCTCCCGACGTTCATCGAATCTCGTTCCGACTGTACATTATCGAAAAGTGTACATCATTTAACATACATCACGATTACATCTACGACATACTTATCAGAAGAAAAATGAAATGATTAATTACTCGTGCGCGTTCTATGTGAGATTTAGAAAATAGTTTCGCATAATTTATTCGCTCGAGGCTCGAAGCCACGTAAGCACAATTCTCAAGACGTTGCGAGGACGTAACACGCGCGTGTCACGCGTGAATGCAGCAGATGCTGTGCGATTACGAGAGAATGGTGAGGCTTCGATCATAGCCGGATTCGTATACGGTTGACGCACGGCCAGTCGAAGACCAGTTTTCTAACTGTATAGACATTCGCTGGTAAGCGGTCTATGTGTGCACGCGTCCATTTTCGAATCGGATAATACAAGTTACTCATTGTTAGATTACAGACTATCATACAAGATGAAACATTTATGAATTTAAGAAACATCATTTAGGTAAACATTTATGTCTTCATTTAAATATTAAAATATGCATTCTACTTGTGATATTCTAAATACATTACAAACAGAATTTATAATGTCTGCAGAATTCTCTTATGAATGTATAAAATCTGCGATCTACTCATTGTAGTCGTTTAGCTATTCGCAGGAAGGCCAATGATTTTCCTCGTAGCGTTGGAAAAGCGTTCTCGCAATATCGATAGGCGTACCGTGATGGAACCAGTTGACCTAACTCCGACCTAGAGTGGAAATAGGGCGTTAACTATGGCGGGACTGTCCGCGACGAGAAAAGAATTCACAGGGAATGCCTTCTACCAGAGATTCTCCGTTTGAGTATGTAGGATATTTCTTCCACGTCGCGTTCATTTCATTAACGATCCCACCTGTTAAGGCACGCTATCACGCATTATGAAGCGTTTCATCGTTATACGTAAATGATAATAAATAATATAAATAAAGCAATGCAACGATTATACGGTACGAGGATATGATAAGAAGTGGATACATAATGTTTCAGCTATATATGTTGCGACTATTCTTAACCGATACACGTCAGTAAAAGCGTCACGGATCGAAAGGTCCGTTTGAGAGGCGCGCTTTTCACGTGGTCACGTGAAATTCCTTACTATGTTCCCCTCGTCGTCTCAGCGTGAAAGCAAATTTGATTAACGCCGGCCACTTTCCACTCCTTGCTACCGGGTAAATTTGATTCATGCCGCGATAAGATCGAACCATTAAGCAGTGGAAAACGCGCTGTTTAAATTGCCTCGCGCCGATACAGAGCACTTAGAGCGCGTTTACCTCGTGTAACGCGTGCGCTGCCGACTTTCGTCTCGCCTTCAAATTGTTCACACGTTTACCGAGTACTTATGCATCGTCGACGGAATGTAGTGTCGATAAAGCGAGCGACTCTCGACATTCATAAATCGATTACAAGAGAATTCTATGGTTTTTCACAATGTTTCTATTAAACTCGTAACATGCAAACGATCTCTCATTTTTTTAAGGATTTTATTTTTCTTCGCAAATATTTGATTTCAAGGTATTTATTAACGACTAACAGAAGCTTCCACGAATCTATTACTCTTTTTTAATTAACGTGAAGAAATTGTTTGCATGGTAAATTAAAATTCCAATAACTTTTTAACGAGCTAGTGAACGATTTCGAAATTTTCCACAATAGTAATTAATGTCAAATAATACAGTTTCAATGATGTGGCATTAATATCGACTTATAGTCGTAACGTCATTAAGAACGTCATGAAAAATTTGTATTACACATGGAGATGACCTGATAATTAACCGAACAGTGACGTTACTAGGTCGGTGCGCGCCGAGCATAAATATATTTTCCAGTGATCTATTTTTTTTCACCCTCCGCTATTACAAAAGTATGAAACATACACACGCTCATTCCTGGTATATCTTATTCATCGCGGCTGTTTTTCCACCGGTACCGTCTTTATTTTTTCTATCTCGCCTCGTGCTCGCGGTGCGTGCAACTCTTTCCTGTTTTATGCGGAACTGTGTGTTCGAACCCGGACACGGCGGCAAATGACATTCTGCCCACGAATTTTGCTGTCCGATTAAACGTTCTCCAACGATTTCCGGTTTCCCGTTTCATTGTGTCGATCGAACACCGACAAAGAGAAAAAAGACGGTCCCGGCCGGGATACGCGGAATATGCATTTAACCACAGACAACCATTAATTTTCACATTACCGCGATTCTTTTACTGGAGCATATTATCACCCGCATAAACTACTTTCATGAACAGAATAGCTGAACGATAATGTCGACTTTAACTTGCAAAGCGAACAGAAATAAAAACGATGGAACTGCGAAAGTACGTTTGCGAAAAAATGTGGTCAATTCGTGGAAACGTGAAGGAAGTAACGATACGGAAATGGAAAAAGAGAGAACTGAAACGCACGCTAGCTGCGGTGATACGCGCGCTGCACCCTGACCGATTGTTGCTGTTCGTCAGCAAAACATTCGCATTATTCACGATGCGCAAATGCGAGCGGCAGTGCACGCGCGCTCCTTTATCGTACTGGTAACCAACGAACGGCGTTATTACCACCGTTAGAATCAATTTTTATTGCGAAACAGTCGTCTCGTCAATATCGGATATCGGAAAATGTCGATCTCTTAATCGAGAGCTTAATTCGAAGATACATACATATGTACATACATTCGCGAGTCATTCATCGACCGCTAATGGATGCGCGTTTCGTGCGTTGCAGACTCGCCCAACTATTAAAGGTTATTCACTTTAAAGGGACTCGGTTAATTAACGATCGACCGGAGGGTCGTTTACTATTCGATGACTGTAAACCCACGGGAATTACACGTAACGGACGACCGTAAAGAGTGAACGAGGATAACGCTGAAATTTTCAACTGCACCCGGTTACGGTCGAAAACGGCGAAAAAGAATCGATTCCCGATAATACGGAACTTCAACGCTTCGAACAAAATCTATTTTTGTTATCGCGCTCTCATGCTCGCGCACGTTTCGCCTGCAACTCGGGATGAGAAGTAGAAAATAGAGGAAAGAACGCAACTCCGAGATCCGTCTCCTTTTTTTTTTTTTGTCTCCAGTGAGACACGAGGCGGAACTCGTTTCAACAGTTCGATTCAGCAACGTGCTCGTGCCTACATCCGAACTTTTGTCACGACACAATTCACGGAGGAGAAACCACTCGTTCTCCCATTGCCCGCGATTTGATTGCATCCGACAACCGATTACCTTTCTAACTGCAACCACGTTGGATTCCTCGTCTCCGTTTTCGCCGACGGTAACACACGGCTACATATTAACGTGTCACGTAACGATGACACATAACTCGTGTAAACGAGTCAACCACGTTCGTTCCACGTTCCCTCCCGACTAACCGCGCCGATGAAGATTTATTTCGTCGCATTCATTTAAATGCGTAGCTAGTAATTAATAAAGCTGGAGGCAGACAGTGGGTAGCTAGGTACAATGTCCGAAGAACGACGTGATTGCGCAACAATCGAACAAAGGACGAGCGAAACGTGGCCTTAAAAAGAAATGTCGCGCCGCGGGGATAAAACCAGCAAAAAATGAATACGTAACAATCACCTTTCGGGTCAACCGGTCCGCCGATAGTCAGCGATTGATCGCAATTAACGGTGAGCACCTAGAAATCGCAATACGATTTTCGGGCTCCGATAACATCAGGACATCTTCGAGGTCCTGGACGATCCGCGGACGAACTCAGCTGCCATCTGGCTCCTGGTTGCTCCGATTTCCTCGACCGGTAACGATAAGCGGGAACAGGCGATTGCAAGTAGCACGCACTCAAAATAGAACACGAGTGCACAATGACACCATGAATCCACGAACGAAAGGATGAACACAACACACTCGCGTGAACGATGCTTCCTGGTTTACGCGCCAAGGGAATAGATAGCCGTCGTGTCAGAATTGCCACGACGAAAAACTCGCGCGAGATCGCGACAACAGGAGACGCGCGAAACTAAGAACGGAACGACGAAATCGGAAGAGCGTTAAAAGCGCGCTGAATACCGCGGAACCGCTGGCACGTATGCACGGTTCCGTACTAGCGAGGACCGAACGTGACAGCGGATACATTCGAAGGTTAGATTCTCTCGATTCGTGTGTGCTGCTCGCCTCTCGCCGCGTTCTCCTGACTGGTATCCCCCTTCTACTGGTCACCGTTACACACGACCTGAACGTTTACCTGGTGAACGTCGGAATTGCACGAGGATACACGAAATCGGCCGATGAATTCGCCTGCTTGAACGTTCGAATCTACGATTGCGACTACAATTTTCATTTTACAGATTTTCTTTTAAATCTGCACTCCGATGGTACGAAAGGACTATTGTTTCTCATTCAAAAGAAGAAAATAAAGATCTATGACCTATATTCAGAAATATCCTACTGGTAAAATGCAACGATGACATTCCATGATTAAAAGGTTCTACAGTTCTCTGAATAAAAGTATTGTATGATTGCCTTAACAATTGAAATGCTTACGTATTAATGTAAATATTAAATGAAAAATGCACTCACCCACTTTGTTCCCAGTCTTCCTCCGCACTCTCAAGCATATTGTCCGCGACTCGATGCACTAACAAAAGAAACGATTCTCGATTACTCGCTAAACAAATCAATATTCGATCGACTACACAAAATCCACGAACAAATAGAGCAAGCTTTTATATTACAAAGAAAAGATTGTAATCTGTACAAACCTCGTTTATATGTTGAACCACTTCGGGAATACTGGCATTTTCCAACGTGCTACCGTTAACTTCCAAAATTTCATCGGCCACTTCCAACGAGTCCGGTGACCCTGTAACAAATTCCAAACAAATAGAATCGTTAATAGGAAAAAAGTTAACTTTCAATGAGGACAATGAATCGGTGTGAAAAAGTGGCGAACGCGTACACACGCGGCGTGAAAGAAGCAAGTTTGGCAAGGAAACAAATTTAAGTGGAGGGAGAGTATACACGATCAGACAGTAGATAGAGACTACACACAGGACGAACGGACGGGCCAATTCGTTTGTGTGTCAATGATTACACATGATAGCGTTCTCGAGAGGAAAACAAGAGAAACAAAAGAGGAAAAAAGGGTTACATAGTTCACGCTTACGTGCTTGACAAGCAACTTTACTGGTGCTCATTAAATGATACGTACCCTATGCTAATTAATGAAAAGAAAATGCAGAATGAAAGCGACAAAAAAAATGTTTGTATCTGTGCGAATGCGGTAAAACGGACAGTGTTTGTTTGGCGAAGTGATCGATGCTCACCGTATAGTTTGATCTTCTCATTTTGGTTGATCAATAAGATAATATATCTTCCTAGATCCATTTTCGCTGGCTCCGATGATAGGCGCTGGTCTAATAGATTACGAGGAAAGAACAATGATGCTTCCGGCGATTCTTAACGCGACGTGTACGATGGGCGCAGCCGCACCATCACCGAAAAAACGATTTGCGATTACGATTAACGTAACGCGGAAACGATTAACGTCGTTACCGCGTGCCATTCTTGCCGTTTTCACTTCCATTCTCGCGTCTCATTTTGCCATCGCAGTGTCGCGACCTATATTCTTTCACTAACGACACCCACGTTTCCGCAAGCGTAAAGGCATCTTCCTCGTTTTATATTCCTTTCTTATTTCGGTTAATTCACTATTCCGAGTTTCGAAAAAGTTTGTCTCGTTTGACCGATTCGAATCGTCAAACCATCCCGAACCAGGAACTTTGAACTCCACTAACAATTAGTTAAGATTGTTGCGTTCACACCGATTAACGACTAACACGACGAGAGAATTAACGACGGATATCTTTTAAGGTAATTCCTTACGAACACGTAACATCCTCTGAGGCTATACTGGTCATCCCTTTTGATAAATATGATGATGTTCTTTAGAAAAGAATCAACGATCTCTTTTGCGATTTCTTCTTTCTTCTTTAATTCTTATATGTGGAAGAAGAGTTGGTGTGAGAAGCTTCGAAGTACGTTGACATGCAGTCCTGACGGAAACCCTCACCGGGGCCCCAACCGTGGGCCCCCCCTACATCCTTGCAATAATGGATTTGTTTTTCGAACGATCACCGAGTTCAAAATCCCTCGAGTCCCAACTTATTGATTAAAGCCTTCACTGGAAACGAGGGATCACAAGACACGGTCATCCTGAGTGTTTGTATCCTTGGACGTGTGAGTCTCGCCGAGTGACATTCGGATATAACGTGGAGGCCTCGATTCTTCGAGACCGAACCAACACTGACTATCCTCATGCTAACTTTCCGTCACTTTCGTGGTCAGGAGCTTGCAATTAAACGCGGTGACACATCCTCGATGAAATTTCTCACGCAAAGGAGCACTCCCGCAACGTAGACTCGCCGCCGTTCTTATGCAATTCCGTCCTGCTCCACTGGCTCGTCCTCTGAATTATTTCTCGTTACTTCCCCTTCTGACAAAGGACACTTATGACACCCCCAATCGCAGGATCAGAGTCCCATTAAAACGGATAACCTGTACTCAAATAATTCACGCGAACCTTTCGTTCTCTCGATATCCAACGTGTCCCTTGTTCCGCTGGACGATCTCGCGAAGGATCAACGGTAAATTCACCCTTGCCTTGATGCACCCCAATCTTCTCCGTTCAAGCACCCACCGCTTCCGGCGCGGCGATTCCAAGGACTCGATTCACCGGCACTCCCGAGCACCGCTCAACTGCTCCTTTCGATGATCGTCCTCCCCGTTTCCCGCGATGCCGGACCCGTTAAAACATAACGGCGAGGATGGGTGTGAACCTGTGCGTGTTAACCGACGGCGGCAGCAGCCCTGACATCGCTCGTCGCCCGCTGATCTCCATCCCTCGCCGCGAAGCGGCGGCAGTGGCGGCTTTTACGGCGCCGCGCGCCGTCGTCGTTCCCGTGGCGGCAACCCCACCATCTTCGACTCGTCGATCCGCTATACAACTACCCTTTTATACATGCACCTCTTGCTCTACCAATTCCTATCTAAAATCCTTCCTGCTTTTAGTCAAATTGCACCCTTACCGTTGATGGGTCAACTATACTTCATGTAGCTACGAGCTGTGTACTTTGACTCGTAATTATGATCGTGTGAGGTCCAATTAGAAATTGTAATCTAATAATATTATAACGTTCCTCTATTTCGCTAAGCATTCGATCGTCATACATGAAATTTATCATTTAATATTTAATTGATGAAATAAAAAATGAATAATGTATTTTGTATATTCTATGCGCTTTTTATATCAAACAATTATGCAAACAGGTATTGCTAATTGTTCTGGTGAATCGTTTTCAGTATTAAAAAATGGAACTTATTGTTTCACCGATATTCATTTCAATCTCGTATTAGGTTCCGATAATCAGCAAAAGATAATTGCGTTTAGATGATCACATTTGTAGATGAGGAAGGAACGTGCCCGCGCACGTGTAGCAGAATGAAAAAATTGTCTACGTAGGAAAGAGGAAAAATGAATTGACGGAGAGCGTGATTAACATACCATAGATGATGCTTAACTTCATAACTGCTGCTCTGGTTTACGCGCTATTTTTTTTCAGCTTTCACCTTCGTGTTTAACATCAGCTGACTCGTTTTAGAAATATGTTCAATCGATATCCAAGAAACCATGAAGAAAATAGATCTTTTTTATGCTCGAATAGCGCTCAAGTATACCCACGTATTTATCCATGACGTTCGAACTCATTATTACATTGAAAATGATAGAATAAAATTCTTGTTGATAAGTAGGTGTTAATAATTATTCGTAAGGTCTTCTTGTTGTTCACGTTCTAAAGGGAAGTGACATTATGCAGATTCAGAACAGGTCCTGGTATAAGCTATCGTATTGGATTATTAATTATAATTAAAGCAGAGGTGGCGCTGGCACGTGGGCTCTTATTTTTAGAATAGTCCATCTGACCACATCTGACAGAGAATCATCTGATACATTGGATTTAAATTCAATCATTCGTTGAAAATGCTCACAATGTACGATTAGTTTTTATCTGTGAACTGTGACAAGTGTGGAAAACAATGATAGAAGTTTGATTCGTTAATAGCTGACTCATTGTTGTTATCACACAAATCGGAGCGATAAAAGTGCAGGCTTATAATGTAGAAACGCAGTATTGTCTAACATTCTGACGAATCTAATACGTGATTGTATTCTTTTATTTTAATAAAAATCGTTGATCGTTCTTGCATCAAGTTGAGAAATTGTGATTACTACGCATTACATCAATTTCTGTATTCCTGAGCTGGCTTCAAACCCATTAAAAAAAGATGGCTTTGTTCATCGGATTTGTTCTGTTATTTTTTATCTCTAGTGCACTATCTAACGTTATTTACTATCAACCTGAAGCTGTACACCTTGCTTATGGAGGTAACAAATAGTTTGACAACATAATGCATTTCTTTGATTAGTATTACGAACAAATATACTTTGTGATTGTTAGATTCTATTCATGACATTGTCGTAACATGGACCACACAGAACGATACTCGTGAATCAATTGTGGAATATGGAATTGGAGGATTAATTCTTAGAGCCACGGGAAGTTCTACTGTGTTTGTAGACGGTGGGAATGAAAAGCATAAGCAATATGTTCACAGAGTATGGTTAAGGAATTTAACACCCAATAGTAAATATGGTAAATGAAATCATCTTAGGCTTGTTTATCAGATCAGATAAGAATCGTGTATAAACGTATAAAAATTTGGATGAACAGTCTATCACTGTGGCAGTTCGTATGGGTGGTCGAATTTATTTTCTCTAAGAACTGCACCTGAGGAATCAGCTGAGTGGTCACCTCAAATTGTGATTTTTGGAGATATGGGCAATGAAAATGCACAGAGTTTAGCCAGATTGCAGGAAGAGACACAAAGAGGATTATATGACATGGCCCTTCATGTTGGAGATTTTGCATACGACATGGATACTGACAATGCACGTGTTGGGGATGAATTCATGAAGCAAATAGAAGGGGTTGCTGCTTATTTACCATACATGACAGTAGCTGGCAACCACGAGGAGAAATATAACTTCAGTAATTACAGGTCCGTATACAATTCAAGCTCGATGTTATTAGTTAAGCTGCGTGCTATAATTGAAGTTTCAATGTAAATTTGTTACTAGGTCACGTTTTACAATGCCTGGAGATTCTGAAGGCTTATGGTATAGCTTTAACGTAGGACCTGTGCACTTTATAGCCATAGAAACAGAAGCTTATTATTTCATGAATTATGGTATAAAGCAACTTGTTAAACAATACGATTGGTTAGAGAAAGATTTAAAAGAAGCGAACTTGCCAAAGAACAGGTAAAGTTCGTAATTTTGTATCAGCAATGCAAAATAAATTGATCAAGATTCTTTACAGAGCTGAAAGACCATGGATAGTTACGTTCGGTCACAGGCCAATGTACTGCAGTAATGCCAATGCCGACGACTGCACCAATCACCAAAGTCTGATCAGAGTTGGATTACCAATTTTACATTGGTTTGGTCTCGAAGATCTTTTCTTCAAGTACAAAGTAGATTTAGAATTGTGGGCTCACGAACATAGTTACGAACGCCTATGGCCGATGTACAATTTCAAGGTAATTCATAATCGTAGAAAAAATACAATTTTCAATTAACTTTGAATAAAAACTACATCATCTTAGGTGATGAATGGTAGTTACGACAGTCCGTACACAAACTATAAGGCGCCTGTACACATAGTAACCGGATCAGCAGGATGCAAAGAAGGTCGAGAAAAATTTATTCCTCAGAAACCAGAATGGTCTGCGTTCCGTAGTTCGGATTACGGATACACGAGGATGAAAGCATACAATAGGACTCATCTTTATGTTGAACAGGTAGCGTATAGTTTAGGAAATACGGTGCAAGAAATGTGTTTATCGTTCATTTTACAATATTTCGGTAATAGGTATCTGATGACAAGGCAGGCGCTGTTTTGGACCATGTCTGGCTGATAAAGGACGATATTTTACCAAAGTACGCGGATGATCTAGCAAATGAATTATAGAAGCATAGTTTAGGGCTAGGTCAAAGTAATTGAAACGATATATACAGACATATCTTTTATCATTTTTATCTTCTTCGACAATGTACCATGCTCTTTTATGGTAAATAGCAAAATTGCGTAATCTATAAACTTCAAACGATCGACTTTAATCCTATTTTAAAAAATTTTCCCTTATTCCTTCTTGCATAGAAACGAATAAAACTACAAAAATTTCCTAATTTACAAATGAGATGGAAATTATTAATAATGCATACGTACAATATAATCATTTAATTGTTAAAATATAAATATATATGTGTATATATATACATATATATATATAATGTTATACATGTATATGTATATATAATCATTATAGCATATAATATGAATAATATAATATTAGTGGTAGCATTTCGTATTTCCATCTGATTCTTACAGTAAATCATTATTTGTCAATGATTCATGATGATTAGCGTGATTTGCACTAAGAAAAAAGAATATTTCCTAATTCAGTAGTACGTGTATATAACAAAGAAATTATTTCGATACTAATAAGTGTTTCCCGATTTACACAATGATTCCGTTAAAGCTGTTAATGTTTCTATGCTTCTACTTTTAAAATGGATAAACCATTTGTCCGTTGACTGGCTCTTTGCCAAGTATAATTTGCTATTTCGTTTGGCTTCTGCTATAACATCTGACTAATGAATTTAAAAAAGATATAACCAGGAACTGCTTTTCTATAAATTATTAACGACACAGGGGACAACGAAGCCAAGAAATGTCAAATACCAGCTTTGTTAATGAAAGAACAGTAACTACGTATACCAAATATGAAATACCGTTCTTCCACACAGAGAAGAAATATCCAACTCTTTATAACATAACACAGTTAACTTAATTTTCATTCTTCTTAATATGTTCATTTCTGAACAAAAATTAAATCCCCGTTATATCGCCGCGAACCTACTCAGCAGGTATAAATAGTATTAATTCAACTGGATCCTTTAATACACAATTTTTCATATACAATTTCATTGACTGCATGCATGCGTGCTCATGTGCACTCATACATCCGAATCTGCCATTGGAGATATGTGTTAAAACCTTTTAATGATGCACAAAAAAGCATCGTAAATTAGCGAAAACTGATATTTTGACTTATCTCCGTCAAAAAAATTCTTCCAAATTGGTAGACAAACAGCAAATACTTGTCATAATCGAATGTCTCTGACTTTTTTCATGCATTTATCCATATATCTCAATATATAAACAAAGGAAATGTTTGATACTGTCAGTGATTAATAGAAACAATGGAAGAAGTTGCTGCTGAGTGACTTTCCTGATAGGAAAATTGGGGAAAATGTTCTTGTTCTTCGGCTATAGAATTCAAACCACCCCCACTACCTAAAAAGCCTTGATCAGGCGGAGTAAGTTCAACACTTTCACCTGTGAATTCGCTATCAAAATATCGGGTATCCGTGTCAGATGTTACTTGAGGTTTAAAGGGAGGAGGAATTTTTTTCTGTACAAGATCCGACCAATCGATCGACGAGAAAAATGCATGATCCATAATTTCTTTTGCGTCATTAGGTCCGCCGCCCAATCTTTTGCTTGGATCTTTAACAAGTAATCCTGAAAAAGAGAGGAGATAAAAATTGCAGTACGCGTTCCGCGGCTTTAATGTACAGTACTTCTTCAATTCTCACTTACCACCAAGCATGTCTTTTGCTTCGTTACTAATCATCCTAGGAAATCTTACTTCTTCCATTACAATCAGCGTGAAAAGCTTCTCATGGTCTTTGTTATAAAAAGGTAATCGACCACAGATCATTTCATACATAACAACACCAACACCCCACCAATCCACTGCTCGACCATAATCATTATCTTCTAACACCTCGGGGGCAAGGTATTCAGGCGTCCCGCAAAACGTTTTTGTCGTTCTCCCTAAACATTTGAAACGGTGATTGTTCATGGTCACGTTCAAAGTTTCATACCACGATCCTCATTTAAGTCTGTACAATGTATTTACCGTAAGTTATATCTTCTTTACACAATCCGAAGTCAGCAATTTTAATATGCCCATCTTTATCTAACAGCAGGTTCTCTAATTTGAGGTCCCGATAAATTATACCCTGTGAATGAAGGTACCCTAAAGCTGAAATGATTTCAGCGCCGTAGAATCGAGTACGATCTTCGCCAAATACGCGGGAACGTCTCAAATGAAAGAATAATTCTCCGCCATTTACGTACTCCATTACAAAGCACAGCCTATCTGCTGTTTGAAAACTATATTTTAAAGACTGCAGAATAAAAACACTTTAATTAATACAGTGTCGAGTATTTAAACGATAATGTAATAATACATGAAACATGTACAATTAGGAACGGGTGATTCGTAGTTCGAAGTACTCTATTCTCTGTAAGTGTGTGCGCAACTTCATCTTTACGAATAATAACTTCTTTTCGTAATATTTTGATAGCGTATAAGTGCCCTGTCGCCTTTTCTCTACAAAGAATTACTTTCCCAAATGTACCTTTACCCAAAACTTTTAAAAATTCAAAGTTTTCAAGAGTCTGAAACAAAGAATTGAATCATGTGATAATAAATATGACATGTCCACTTTAATTGTTCTCAGTTAACATCAGTTATATACATACTACTTTCTTCTTCCCTGTACTTTTACTACTTGAAGTTCCTTGAACACTAAATTTGGCAGATAATTCATCAATACTGCCACCATCCGTATCTGTAGACATTACTCCAACAGATCCACACGAATCTGATCTACCTCCTGAGGATTCCATATCAACATCTTCAGATGAAGATGAATGTTGCATTTGTGAAGATTGCTGTGGGGATTGTTTTTCACTCGCTAGTCTGGCAGCAACATACCTTTGAGAAATGAAAATAATGTTGAATGAAATTTAAATTCATTGAATATTGATATTATTTAGTTTCGCAGAAATCAACCTGATCGCTGCAACCCAATCTTCCCTTTCTTGTTCAGTTTCTACATGAAATGTCCTTTCTATTACAGCAGCCCATTGTAAACCTCTTATGACAAAAGTGTAAGGCTTAGGTCTATCTACAGACATAATTTGGCAACCACGAACTGTAAAATTATTCAATGGTTGTGCCGCAGCTGCCATTTGTTGATCTGGCTTAGCTTTGAAACCAACCAAAGTACCATCATCCCGTAAAACAAAATACCTCGACCTCCAGTTCTTTATATGCTCACCTATTCACAAAAAATTAAATATTCTTTACACCTACACCTGACACAAAAAATAATTTTTATCGGTATCGGAAAACCATAAAGGGTATTTATATAACGCATAACAGCGAAAGTGCCGAACGGACGATCTAATTTTACAAACCGAATATGCACTTTCTAAAATTTTCACGAAAAAATATTCAAATCGATGTAGGATCTTGACGTTTCATTAAGAAGAGGAACAGAAGTCAAGAAGATCACGAGGAAAGGTGTAAATAGGACTCCGATATCCGCATCTCCGTCCGTTTAGAGGTAAAGGAACGAAGTAAACATAAATATTATGAAACTGTTCTGTGTAGTACCGCGTTTTTGCAGCCAGCCTTCTTTAACGACACGCTGACCGCCGCCACCGGACGCTGCGACGTTCATCGCTGCGTCCCCCATAACTCAGTTAATGCGCACTTGTGTACACTATCCCGATACTTCGTATTTCCGTCGGGGTTCGATATTCCGCGAAAATTATTGTAATGTAACAGCGACGACGGCACGAGTATACAAACTTGAGCAATCATAGATACACGTTTGGCAAGTAAACTCAAACTATACTCCGTGCTGTCGGTGCTGTCCACTATGATCGGCACACGCACTAATGCGCACTAACACGGCCGTCGCACTAACCAACCAGAGCATTAACTCCCCGTCTTCCGGAGATGGCGCATCAATCGATCACAAATAAAGAACAATTTTCATGAAACAACCCCTGCCTATTTTCTGCATTCATACTGTAGTACTCTGTCTGTGTCAGTCAGTGTCAGTGGTGTCAGTATTATCAAGTATTACGGATGTCAAGTCGTATCGAGAACATGGGCCCACCACCCGTGGTAACGGGTATTTCTCCTAAGGAAGGACCTCCAGGAACCCGCGTGATAGTTCGCGGTGAATTCCTGGGTAACAAGGCGCAAGATCTCACAGGTTAATTTCACTTGTCATGTCACTCCGAAGTATCTTAGTTTTTCATTGAAATTCGAAAATATTTCATTCATTCAGGTCTAACAATATGCGGATGTGATTGCCTTTTGTCGGCTGAGTGGAAGTCTTCAAATAAAATCATTGCTAGATCAGGGCCATGTAAAGGTCGCGGTGATATTATCGTAACTACTCGCAGTGGAGGACAAGGAACATCAACAGTACAATTTCGTGGATATCATGAAACTATTGGTCCCATGAAAGAATCTGCAGTATGGGTGGAAGAAGCACCTATACAGAGTTACGTATGGGGTAGAAGAACCCTTTCCCCAACAAATTACCAGCAGGAAGATCCTCTAGGATTAAGTGTGGAGGGCAATGAGTATGTTTCTTGATATAAAAGTTAATATAAATATCATATTACATCTGCTTGTAGCAAAAAGTTCCCTGAGGATGAATTAATAGAACTCTTTGGAGAAGGCAGTGGAGATCTTACTAACGAGAAGTTTCATCCTGGTTGGTTTCTATTGCAACACCATCATGCCACAAGTTTTGAGGATTTAAGGGCTGGGTTATCTTATCTCAAAAGAAAAGTTAATTCCCAAAAAGAGGGTCAACTCTCGTTTTTAAAGGTGATTAGAGTAATATAAAAAATAAATTGAAATCTGTGTTTTTATCAAATTTCTTATAACGTCTCTAGGCCAATGTAGGATCAGTAATAGAACAATTAGACACGATAATACTATTGAAAGAACAATTTGAAGCAGATATAAAAACGTATGGTAGCGATCCTACTGAAAAATTAGAGACAGCTACAGAGTTACGTATGGGGTAGAAGAACCCTTTCCCCAACAAATTACCAGCAGGAAGATCCTCTAGGATTAAGTGTGGAGGGCAATGAGTATGTTTCTTGATATAAAAGTTAATATAAATATCATATTACATCTGCTTGTAGCAAAAAGTTCCCTGAGGATGAATTAATAGAACTCTTTGGAGAAGGCAGTGGAGATCTTACTAACGAGAAGTTTCATCCTGGTTGGTTTCTATTGCAACACCATCATGCCACAAGTTTTGAGGATTTAAGGGCTGGGTTATCTTATCTCAAAAGAAAAGTTAATTCCCAAAAAGAGGGTCAACTCTCGTTTTTAAAGGTGATTAGAGTAATATAAAAAATAAATTGAAATCTGTGTTTTTATCAAATTTCTTATAACGTCTCTAGGCCAATGTAGGATCAGTAATAGAACAATTAGACACGATAATACTATTGAAAGAACAATTTGAAGCAGATATAAAAACGTATGGTAGCGATCCTACTGAAAAATTAGAGACAGCTATTCAACAGTCCATGTCAGAGGCTAATAAACTGTTTGATGATGTATTAGCAAGAAGAGATAGAGCAGATGCGACTAGAAACGCATTGGCTGTTATGCAGAGATACAAGTTCCTCTTTTGTATGCCAATTAATATAGAAAAAAATATAAAACGTGGCAATTATGATCTCGTGATCAACGATTACGCGAGAGTAAAAAATTTATTCAAAAATACGGAAGTTGAAGTTTTTAAAAGAGTTCTACAAGAAATTGATAATAGAATTGAAATGTTGATAACGCATCTAAGGAAGAAACTGGAAGAAATACCCTTCAGTTTAGACGAACATAAGAAAATTATTAGAAATCTTGTTAACTTAGAAGCTGAAGGAGATCCAGCTTGGGATGCAATAGGTACTTACCTGTTGTAGTGTTGTGTGTGCATTAATATACGTGAAGTATTTTTTCAGTTTCACATTCAAAATATTTAAAAGAGAGTATCACGTCATGTTTGAAGGAGCATTTAGAAGTGGAATATTTAGAAACAAAATCGCAGCAAATACAAAAATTATCAAAGTCCAGCAAAAATGATGAGACTAATATTCCATTGCAAATATCGTGTATCGAAACGATTTGTGATATTATAGTTGAACAATTGCCGGACCTATGGAGATTGGGTCAGAGTTACTTCACAGGACAGTTACATGTAGCAGTAGATGCAGAGAAACAAACACCTTTTAAAGTAATATTAAAGTTCTAATTCGTAAAGTTAAATTTGTTTGAAGGTTTAACTTTAAAAGGAATTTTATTATAGAATTTGGTGCTATCAAGCATGCAACATGCTATGGAAGCAATGAAAAACACGTGCAGCAATGACTTGGATGCCATATGGCTTTTACATATCCTACGTCGAATCAGACAAATGTATGCCTCATTGATTCATTTGGATTTACCAAGCGACGCATTAGATATTTTTGGAAAATTTATACTTGACTTAAGGTATGATGTATTATGATAATGTATTTTCTTTTTTATTTTTGCCAGACATTATACTAAATGTCTTTTAAATCAGATTGCAGTGTTTCGATGCTCTTTTTAAACAAACTGCCGAGAAAATAACGGCGTTAAATAAAAAGGAAACATGGCAAATTGAATATTTAAACGAAGACGGGGGCGTTACGAAAGTGGTAATAGTTGAATCTAGTTTATACAAAATTTATATGTATGTCTTCTTCAATGAACGCAAGTTGCCATTTGAATACAGCCGTACCTGTTCGAAGAAATGGTTCTGGAAGTCTCAAAACGCGCCCGCGATACGGTAATTGCATGTGGGCCACGTGAAGGACCATTGTTCGTCAATCCCGCGCACCAGGTATTATATTACAATTCTATGAAGACATTGTTCACATCGTTCGCGCGATGTCTACAACAGTTGGCATTTAGTGGCTGCGAAGAAGCTTTAGACGATGACGAACCTTCTGTATCACAATTAGTCGGTTCACCGTCTGGCTATAAGAGCAAGAATAATAAACACCAAGGGCCAGTAAGTTCCTTACCATATTTACAACGTGGTACCCTTATAGAGAAGACCATTTATTTCAGGGCACATTGTCCGTACATTAACTATCATTAGAAAACAAAAACAAAAAAAATACAATTTGTAGCATCTTTTGAAGTCAGTGCTATATTTTAGCATCACTTCTGAATTTTTTATCAGACGTGGGAACAATGCCTCTTAATCTCATTAAGTAATATTCGTTATACCCTGAACACCATCCTACCAAGAATCGGAGACGTACTAAAGGAACAAGATTATCCTAACTTATCGAACGCTGTTGGATGGAACTCCGATTGGACTCAACTAGAAACACTAGACGCAGCTGTTCTCGACGCATATTTAGAGCGCCGGTGCGATCCACTGGTGGGTACGATCGAACCGAGCATGTACTTAGGCGGATTGGAATGGGATTTCGAAACAGAACCTACTCATGTGAGGCCATACGCGCAAGAGATCTTAGCCAATTTAATCGCAGTTCATGCGGAGGTACTTATAATTTTCCGTCGAATAAATAAATATAAACCTAAATTTACAGTTCTTTCTATTTCTTACAGGTTCGACGGGTCGCACCAGCTTTGTTGCACCGAGTGTTGTCTCATATAGTTGAGACCGTAGCGGAGGAACTTGCGAGACTTATGTCGTGTGTCACTCAATTTCGACCAGCCGGCATTGTCCAAGCACGAGCTGATATCATACTTCTTCGAAATGCTTTACGAAGTTACAGTACAACGAGAGCAAAGTAATAATCTATCCGTTCATCGTTAATTTTTGTAACGATTCAGATAGAAGACACGCTAATCGTGTGTTTTGATCTGTAGGAACTTTTTTGACGAAGCTCTAGACGCAATACCGCAACCTGTTTGCAAAGACGATCGACTGCGTATCGATATGTTGTTATCAAAGGTGGCAACGTCAATGCGTTTGCAATTATCGTGTCTTGCCAGTGATACAACAAATAATACTCCTATACTGATTGCCGATCCTAATCGCGTTACTACTGTATAGATTTAGTAGTAATTTAAAGGTTTAAGTAAGTATTTATTGTGCGCATTTTGATATTGTTAACTTTACCTCATCGTTACAGTAAATTTCTCTATTCCAGTCCCTACATAATTTGCTATCAATATGAAACAAATATACGTGGTACAAGAGAAAATAAAATTGTATTCTTTTTAATTGTGTTTCTTCACCAATTGTAAGACACCAGCATCCGCGGCTAACAATACAATGTCCCCTAAAAATTTGTTTATAGTCTAGCATTCATCACATTATTATTTTGTTTAAGAAATGAACTTGTTATTTACCTGTTTGGAAAAGTTGTGTTGCTTTCTTAGCCCCGACTATGCATGGAAGCCCGTATTCTCTGGCTACCACAGCTCCGTGACTAATAAGTCCTCCCAGTTCCGTAACAATACCGCTCAGTAGCGGGAAGTATGGGCTCCAAGCAACATCGGTCGAACGGGTGATTAGAATATCACCTTGTTGTATATTTTTGGCATCTGCTATATCTGTGATTACGCATGCTCTATTCGAAATAGAACCACCGCACACGGGTGTCCCTTGAACTTTCATAGAGTCTTCGTCAATCGTTACATCTAAATCAACCTATACGACAAACATAATTTTGTAACGTTTGTGAATAAGTGGTATATTAAACAAAAATTTCATCATCGATACCTTCTCAGGAATCGGCATTCCAATATTAATTTCTGGATACCTTAACTCGTACAGGCGAGGAAAAAGTCTCTTCCTTCGGAAAGCTCTAAAAATGTTTAAAAATATAGAAATACATTCGAAAACTATACATAAAATATACGTAAACATTATGTTACTTTTGTACGAGTGCAGTATTATGATCATTTAGTATCTGTCCTATCTCTTCCTTCGTTAAAAAGAATATTAAATCCTCTTCAGGTAAATATCCTTCCAAAACCATCAATTTTCCTAGTCTTCTATAAGCCAATCTAAATATATGTATAAGATCTACCAATATCGCTTTCGTCAGTTCTCGACGTACTACAGCTTTCCTAGAATGTGGCACAGCTTTCTTCAGAATCCATTTCGTGAGCGATGATTTTGGTGTCTTTAATAGCGCTATCGTATCCTCTGCGGTCAGTGCTTTGTTCGAATTGGCTATATCAGTATTCTTCATCATCTAAAGAATATAAAAAATTGATTTCTTCGTAAGGTCCTTGTACATGTTTAAATAAAGCACTGCACCTGAAGCGTCCTAATAAGATTCTCGGGTTTAAGGGACCATGGTTCTGACAAGAAATCCATTTCTTGAATGCACCTATGACCATGAGTTTTAAGAAAAATATCTATTTCGCTCGCAGCAATCGGACAATTAACTTTTAACCAGTTTATGGCTTCAAGGGGATCTATCTTTTGAAATTCGTCGTTTTTCTCATATGTTTTAATGCACCTCAATATTTTTTTAAGACCAGTTACCACTTCGCCGCTAGCGATTTCGCTGCAAGAGCCTAATACAAGTGCGATGTCGGAAAAATGGTCTGACACCAAGTTCTCGTAGCCTTTCGTCAGCAATGATAATACAATGATTTGATAAATAATACTGACCCTTGTTGTATGCATATGACATGCACCAATCTGAAAGTATCACGTAATTAAATAAAATTCTTTTTCATTCCCATCTTAATATACTTACTATTATAAACTTCTCCAATTGCTGATTAATTTCATTGTACAAACTATGAGCAGTATGAAAATCATCTGCATTAAATACTAAAGATTCACGGCACTTTTTCGCAGTTTCTTCGATTTCGCTATTCTTCATCGCAGCTTTCACCATGTCGTAGAATCCATATAGCTCAAGAAAAGTAGTTGCTTTACCGTTTCTCTCACAAGCGATCCTATGGATCTCCGGTGTTATTACGACGTTTCCACAAACAGCTATGTCACTAATTTTATTCATAAGCGACACCGTTTTACCAGGTCGCGGTAAGAACATCTACGGTAATAATGTATCTTTTAATATACATCCTCCCCTTCTGTGTGCAATTTGTAATATTACTCACGTCATAATAATTCACGGCAGATCTCAAACTGACGACATGGAAGAAACTACGAGTCGAAGTTTTAAACACATTAGCTACCCCCGAATTAAATGTGCCCAGTACAACAGAAGTTGTTAAAGGTGACACCGGATTCGGAAATACTTCGCCTACATTAGCAAACGTAATTATGTCGATGTCGCTAGGAACACCTGTATCGTTTTCGTGTATCAACTCAAAATCTGTCCACGTGTATAAAGTAGTGATAGGTCGTGCTTGGAGTAAATAAATATCTTCATTGATCACCGCCCACTCAGCGTCTCTAGGACTGCCGAACAAATATTCTAAATTCATCCCTATAGCGGCTAGACGTAGCGATAATTGTTCTGATAAACACACTATCTCCTTCTCTTGGTCATTTAATTCAATCGTAACCACTCCATTATCACCTGATAGTATTTTTTCCCTTTTATTTCCTGCTGTTGAACTTTTCATACTTAATTTATTATTCCAGCTTCTATGAACAGTTATCGTATCCGGCTCAACTGTTGCCGACACAACGGACTAAACAAGTTAATTTCAATTAATATATATGATGCACACATAAGTCAAGTATCACACTCACCTCTCCTAATCCGTAATTGGCCGTAATAATAATTTCCGAAGGATCACCAGTGGTCGGATGCCTGGTGAACATGACGCCAGCAGCATCAGCGTCTACCATTCTTTGTATACACACTCCCATTGACGTTTTTACAGACATGCCATGCTGTTTCCTAACACGTAAATTAATTGACATTAGCATCTCGAATATATCGGAAAAATTAATTATACTATGTCCTTACCTGTATCTGACGCTCTGATACGAAAATAAACTTGCCCAACATTTGGCTACGCTCTTAATGATATTGTCCACATCACGAATACCCAGATACGTCGAATTTTGACCAGCCGCTGAAGTTTCTTCGCTATCTTCGCCTACAGCGCTTGATCTAATCGCATATTTGTACGGTTTCTTATCATTTTCTAATTCTAAATCTTCTATCGCTTGTATAATTGCATTCTTCACTTCTTCGACTATAGGGGTAGATTCGACAACACGCATAGCATCCTCGCAGTGTTTCTCGAAGTCGCCATCCTTCTTTCCAACACTGACACTTTCGATATCGTCAATTATCCTCTTCAATTTTTCGTGGGCGCGTAATTGCAATTCAAGGGCAAAAGTAGTCACACAGAATCCTTCCGGCACAGTGAAATCTGCATTCTTGATGGAAGTTAACATAGCCAGTGATAATCCTTTTCCACCAACGATACTTTCGTTCTGACATTTTCCATCATCAAATCGAACGACGTAATCGTTCTTTTGAACGTAGGTGTCAATGGACTTCAAAAATTGCAATTGTGGACGTGTCTTTTTTTCACACGGTCCGTCATAAGGACACCGCAATTGTAGTAATCCAGTGCCGGATATTCCATTCACATCTAACTTTACGGTAACGACTTTATTTGACCAATTCCATGGTTGACCGTAATAAAACTTAACCGAATTACCAAGTTTTACAGAAACGTCATATCGTTTATTGTTAGCTGAAAGGTGTAACGATTATTTCTAAATTCTTTATTTTAATATGTACTTTAATTTACCTATAAACCACGTTTTGTATTCCGTACTAGTATTAAATTTCTCAGTTTTGAAATCGGACAGTGTAAGCCCTATTTTATTAATCGTACGGATCTCTTCGTTATTATCACTGAACTGACCAAACTGTATTCTGAAATAAATATTTTCTTGGCAATGTGACACTCGATTATAATGTATTTCTTGACTTACTGAGAAAAACTGTGTTTTGTACTACTCATGTCGAGATAAAACGTAGCCCCGTATGACGATACTCCAAACAACACAACTGATTCATGAAATTCATTAGATTCGTGCTTCCCCCAGCGGTGCTGATGAAGTCCACGCAAATATAGTGTCGAAATAGATCCATTTTTATATGTCACTTGACCAAGCATAGATCCAAATAGATCATATCCTGTGTGTTCCAATAATTTTCTGGAAATATTGATGAAAAATAGAAAGATTTCCTAACACTTTTATATCTATCGTACATTTTATTTATCCATTCAGAACTTTCCCATCGTTCGCAAGCTAACGCTTCCGCGTGTAATTGTGTGCTCCAATCTTCTGGCCATCTCAACACTGATCTACGCGCGATAAATCTAAAAAAAACGTATATATTATTAGCAAATACTTCAACATATAGAGTATAGTTTCTAAACAATTGACAGTATATTCATTACATGAAATTCAAACGAATATGTTCGACGTTATCGTCGGTGCACTCATCACCGCGAGACAAGTTCCGCAGCATCCCATTGTAAATTATCCTCCAACGTCGCTCGGATTCTAAAAATTCGATTTTAAGACCCGCAGCGGTCCATCCTTGGTTCAGACCAGTCGTCAATGTAGTGTCTGGGTAGGCTAAAACACTTTTGATTATTTCATGTTCTAATACAAAAATTATGGTATATAAGCATTTCGTAGTACCAGGTAAAACGTATACTTGTCCATCAGACGTAGTAAGTTGCAGTGATACTTCTGCTATCTTGGATGCTCTGTGAGTAAATTTAACAAACAAGGAGTTTCCTTTTTGGTCTGCGGCATAAAAGAATACACTGTTGGCACCCTACATTATTTTTAAAAAAAATCGTATTAGTAATGTGGAAACTCTAGCTTTTAATTTCACCAGATAGGGATTACATGTACATACATCTTTATCTTCAATATTTGCATTTGTCACATGTTTTTCCTTATCATTACGCGAGTTTTTTTCTTTCCTCTTGTTCTTCTGAATGCAATGCTCTGCCCACCAATGTTTCAACAGGAAATGTATATCTAAACATTATCGTAATTAGTGTGTTTCATTTACATAATAATATAGAAGTACTCACTTGATACATTGTGTTTCAAATCCAAACAGGATGTACTCTGCTCCTTGCACTTTTTGTTAATCCAAAAGTACAACCAGATAGGAATAAACAACGAAAATAAAATTTGAATGATAAATAAAATGTTTGTCATCCTGAAATGTATCTCCTAACAAGTGATGAGCACAAATAATGCTGTTAAAACAAATAGAGAGACTTAAGTAAACTTTTTTTATCTTTACTTATTATTTGTGATATCACTAAAGTCTATAATCGTGATGAATTACCTAGCACTATCAGTTAAGATAATATATATCGAGATCAGATTCAAAAGAATAGCTTGTAAAAACGTAATTCAATCTTCGATGTTCTGTTTAAATTCGTCACATACTCGGTATTTAATTTAAATTTGCAATTCGACTCAAGTCGATTCTCTGAATCGTTTCCAAAAGCGCAACGGAAAATGTACTGCCATAATGTCAGGCAGATCATTCATCGTCTATTACAAGTGACATAAGAGTATGAATTGCAAACGACCTTGGTAAATATTTGCCATGACGTAAGAACGTACCTATCCGCAATCGGTGTGCGTACAATAAATTTCTTTCTGAATAATCAAGTTTTACGAGATGAATTACGATTTAATTTACTAACGAAGCATAAATGACATATACTTTTTAGAATAGATTAAGTGCTATGTTTTCTGCATCGAGTTTCAATATTAGTAATTGATTCTAAAGGAGTCGATCATCAATACTTAAAATTACATTGTTTGATAAGATAACAGAAACCTTGTCAAATAGTTACATTTATACTTTTCTTCCAAAGACCGCACTATACTTAATGCAAGGTTTAAATAAGAAAATATTTTTTATCCCAGGTATTTGTATCAACAAGTTTCTATTTTTTTCTAAGATATCACATTATAAAATATTGCTAACTCAGTTCTTTTCAGACGATGTAAGTACGTAACAAGTTAATACTCTTAAAATCGTATCAAGGCTATAATGTTTAGGCGTGATCTGTTAATTAAACGGTCATTCGGAATGATTTATCGTGCGTAAACTAAGAGTAATAACCGAGATACTGAATAGATTTACTTCATTCCATTTTTTTATTCGCGCTGCCAGTATCAACAGACGCTTCGCCAATCGCGTCCATGTCTGGACGAGATTTATCCACCGGATACAACCTATAAACAATAAACCATTGTTAAATGACTCATGAAACAAATAAAACTGAATAGAAACTCAGGACTTACCATCTTTGATAAAGGTAAATGAGGAAAACTGCATCATCTCTGAAACAAGCTATTCTGTGCGCAATCGGTGTAGAGATAATAAATGCAAAAACATCGTCGATAAATGTATTGAATGCTTTATACATAAACGTTCTCCAAGGTAAATACGCTACGGATTTCAATTTATAATTTACGAAAAGCTGAGGAAGCATGAATAGAAATCCAAACGCGTATACTCCATTCACCAATGAATTTATACTCCACGAGTACCAACTAGAATTCACGATATCAGACTCTTAGTCATATCTTAATATAACGTCTCGAGTTAAACGTAATTATATTACCTTTTGTGAGGTTGATAAAGTAAGGAATAAATTGCACCTCCGACAACAATGGGATATAGTAGATAACTTAAGTAACGCATACTCTCCGCGTCGTATTCTCGCGTTCTCATTTCAGTTACATTACTGTTATTCTTCTTTAATCTTAGCTTCAATACCTTCTTCAATTTCCACATCTATTAAGAGAAATGCAGATGTCAGACGCATTTATATTGAAAAAAATGCAAAACGAACTCTTGTAGTTTTACCTCAATAATGGACTCGATACCAGTGGGAATTAAAACGAGCCAGGATGAACCTTCGTCCAACAAATAAAGGAAAATGACAGTTTGGCTAAATCCTCGCCATATGACAGTCCATTTACTCAGCCCGGCGAGATTGTCTTTCTTCCTCCAATAACTCACATCGTTTTTAAAAGCAAGAAAATCGAACAGCAGCTACAGTGACATAAAATATGATTGATTTACACTTTAATCTGTTTTAATGTTGTTCTTTACGATACATACATGAATGGTTGCAATAAAGAAAGTTCCTCCAAGGATGTATATATTAGTGTCAGCAAAAATCCCTTTCACCTCGTCTATATCCTTATCAGAAAATCCAAAGTTTTTCAAACTCTGCATAGTATCCTCCACATGCAGTAATAATCTTAACTTTCCAATAGAAATCGGTGAATATTGCAATGTAACATTAATAGTTCTATTTTGGGGGGTAATTTTTACTAAATCACGTTGTCTAGTTTGTAGAAAATCACAGGTCATTATTGGTAAATATGTTCTGCCTTTAACTCTGAAAATAGATAATTTACATAAAGTCAATAACTACAAATTCATTGATTCACAAATGACATTTACATACTTTAAATGATTCAAAAGTTCCATGGGTACACTGTCTGTAGGAAATTTCACATCATCCGTCATTATTGTAAATGTTACGTAACTTTTAATATGGGTAACTGGAGTTACTAAGTTTTGCCTTTTCTTCTCGGCATCCTCATTCTTGTCACCCAATAAATTGAAAGCTTCTGCTTCAGGAATTTTGTATTGTGTCATTTTAATGATTGTATAAGATACGTAAGATTCCTAAGAAGAAAGTCAGATCACATGCATTAGATTAAATATATGTTATATCAGATGCTCAAAGTATACCTGCCTTTAATAGATCCATATCGTTCTTTCTATATTTTTTGGAACTTGGTGCAACAATGATATGAAAAAACATTGTTCCATTATTTCGGGTTTTCTGTGGAACACCTACAGTTAAAGGGCTGGAAGTACAACAATGATTAAACATAAAGAGGTAAAAAGACGATGAGTTGTTAAATATTATAAGACTTATACTCACAAACTACCTGCGTGTGTGTAATTGAAGTTTTCATTTGAATATTCAAATTGGAGCTGTTTTTCATTGGGATATTTGTCAACGGAACTATAAACTTGCAATTGCAATTGAGGTTTTTGGCTCAGATACGATGTCAGGCATGGTTTTCCTTTCTCGCAGGATGGTGCCACAAATAACTGAGACAAACTATATATCGTGTAAACGATGTAAGCCAGAAATATTTTTGTTAGTAACAGGTTAAACGATGGCCACCGCATGTTCGTTAATTATTATCGAGATGTCATTGACATTATTGCTTCTGTTAAATCACACCGAATCGCGCGGTACTACAGTATACGTTGCGTGTCGCGTGGCGTGCAAAGCCATATGCAATGCAAAACGGTAAATACAATTTTCTTTGACCTAGAATATTTGCCTATGGTGAACTTCAACATTCAGGTTCACTGACATACTGTCAACATCGACATTTTACGTTATCGGCTTGTTATAAGAAAAAAAATTAAAAGATAACAATCAATGGCCGGTATTCAGATTCAGAGTCGTTGCTTATTCTTAAGATCGTCTTAAGCCTTTGCTATCCCTGTCTATCCCATGTTTCCAGTCTCTGTCTTGTACAGGAAAAAATGTGCTTATATAAAATAAGTAGATGAACTCGTAAGATGGCTTATTTTAAGCAAATTCGCAAAAGAGACAAAGTAATAGAAGTTTGTAAACCAAATATACTGCTGTTTTCTCACAAATATCGCCGGGATATGTGGGGACATGCGGATAAGAGTCTCGAAGCCCGCGGTCCCGCGTATAGCGCCGTGCGAAGATTTTACATTGGCACTGCTTACTCGATCGTCATTTGAAATTATTTTCCGCGCATTCGTTTTCTCGTTTTTACCGGGTGTTTAAAAACATGTTTTTACATAATGTTCTCGATCCGATACAAGTTACACGAGTTGTTCACGCAGGAGTAAAAGTTAAGCAGAAACATAGTTAAACAACTCGTTTATTTCATTACTCTGACATACAACGTCCTTATGCTTGGGCAACCGTTAGGAAGAACAAAATATTTATATACAGTAGTTCTTGCCCACAAACTTTAGTGTTAATCCCAACGTGATCCCGTGATCATCAAGCAACAAGGATTCAAATCTGTTCAGTTCAAATCTGTTGGAGGTAGAATCGCATCGACCAATATCTTCTTCCATAGTTAAACAATTCGTTTATTTCATTACTCTGACATATAACGTCCCTATGCGTGGGCAACCGTTAGGAAGAAGAAAATATTATTTATATACAGTAGTTCTTGCCCATAAACTTTAGTGTTAATCCCAACGTGATTCCGTGATCATCAAGCAACAAGGATTCAAATCTGTTTACTTGGAGGTAGAATCGCATCGACTAATATCTTCTTCCATGGATCTGTCTGTAATCGCAACTGATTTGTCCGTCGTATCATTTACAGCATCGAAGTGGTGAGGATCTATAACGATTGCAGCTTTCTTTCTCATCCCGAACATTTCCGACGTAAACACGGCAGTCTTTTAACAGAAACGGACATCTTCGTCCTTCAGCTCGAATACTAAACGAGATATTTATAACGGCACAAGAAAACCTTCATTCTCATCGTTTGGGATCGCGAATATTATAATTTTTCTCGTTGGAACGACGTACGAAGCAATACTTTTAAAGCGTATACTTTGATGTTTTATCGATTGACTTTTGTAACTAACTAATTTTATAATTCTCTATACTTAGATTTTTTAATCACTATCAATCGGCGTTTTAACGAGGGCGACGTTTCGTACGTAGGCGATAGTTTTGCGTTTAGTTTCGTAGATAAAATGGATTCTTCAAATATAAAGAGAAAAGAATCTGCGGATACGAAACGGGAAAATGTACCAGAAGCTAGCGTGGACAATCCTGACGAACACAAGTCTGTAGCTGATAATCGAATTCTACTGGAACGCCTGTCAGACGTGGGGCAGTTTATTCACGTACGTGCGGAAATATGGTTTTGGAAAATCGAGGCGGTATTCCGAATCGCGGGAATAACGGATCAAAAGGTAATGGCAGATGCTGTCATTGCATGCTTGGATCAGGAAGTCATGCTGATCGTAAAAGATTTAGTCCGCAAGCCGCCTCGTGTCAAGCCGTACCAAAAACTTAAAAACAGAATTATGCGTTCGTGTACCACGGCCGCTAAAACTAGACTAGATAAGATTCTTGAAGTCCGCCATGATGAACACTTTAAGCCATCGCAAATGCTCAGAGAAATGCATATGATAAATGATGGTACTCTCAATGAGTCGGATATACGCACGTTGTTCATGCAGCACATGCAGGAGAGATGTCGTAAAATTTTAGAAGCATCTCAAATTACTGATGTGGAACAGCTGGCATGTTTGGCCGATGCTGTGGAAGATGTTTTGAGGTCGTCTACCATCGAAGCTTATAAAACTTCGAGTTGCTTCCGTGTTTTGAATACGAAAGTCGATGAACTCACGCATCAAGTTAGGAATCTAACTTTATCAATGGTGGATTCAACGTCAACGAGCAGTAGGACTCGTTCACAGTCCAGTGATCCCCAACATCCACAGTTCCGTGGTCGACAACGTCCGCAATTCCGTAGTCGCCAACGTCCGCAATTCCGTAGTCGCCAACGTCCGCAATTCCGTAGTCGCCAACGTTCGCGGTTCCATGGTCACCAAAGTTCGCAGTCTCGTGATTACCAACATTCGCAGTTCCGTGATCACCAACGTTCGCAGTTCCTTGATGACCAACAGTTCCTTGATCTCCAACGTTTGCAGTCTCGTAATCGCCGACGTTCGCATTTGCTTGTTGACGAATGTTCGCAGTTCCTTGATGACCTACGTTTGCAGTTCCTTGGTGACCAACATTCGCAGTTCCATGACGACCAACGTTCGCAGTTCCTTGATGACCAACGTTCGCAGTTCCTTGATGACCAACGTTCGCAGTTCCTTGATGACCAACATTCGCAGTTCCATGACGACCAACGTTCGCAGTTCCTTGATGACCAACGTTCGCAGTTCCTTGATGACCAACGTTCGCAGTTCCTTGATGACCAACGTTCGCAGTCCTGTGATGACCAACGTTCGCAATTCCGTGATGACCAACGTTTACAGTCCCGTGATCACCAACGTTCGCAGTCCCGTGATCGCGGACTTTTGCAGTCCTGTGATGATCAACGTTCGCAGTTCCGTGATGACCAACGTTCGCAGTCCCGTGATCACCAACGTTCGCAGTCCTGTGATCGCGGACTTTTGCCATCCCGTGAAAGCCAACTTTCCCCGAGTACAACGGAAGCATCGGAAATAATGGGACTGTGTTGGCTTTTCAATCCATTCGACTAATGTCCCGATTGTATGCGAGCAGGAACATGAACTGGAGGAGGGTTGATATTGACACCGTTGAAGCGTACGAAAGTGACTCAAGGATGTACTAATAATAATACGTATGGATTTATTCACATCCGTTACCATAAGATGAAATTTAATGATTATTTTACATTTATTAAACACTATATGATCTATCACAATAAATTCTTTTCCTCGTTCAAATCAGAAGAATTCGTATAGAAATATATTTGAACAGACAAATGCTAATCCCTCACGAGAAACCTAAATCGCATCTCGTGAGGAGGAGAACGTTAGGAAATCGCGTCGCACATCTATACATAGACATAACTCGTAATTATTGTATGGTACATCGTATTACATGTACATATGTACAAGCTAGAAGTGTAGTGGAAAACAAACGAAGTCATCTTATCTTATTTTCTCATTTGCTGGATATGTTGTAAAGGCATGAAGCTAGAAACTACGACGTTTATTTGGTCCAATCTCTCTCGTTATTAGCCCGAACCTGTTTCGAAAATATTTAAAAGCTGATTCTGTGTGCAAGCGAGCTGCTCCGACTCCTATATAATATCCTATTAGAACCATGTTTAATTATTCGACGATTAAAAAATTCGAAGACCGTGAGAAATATCGCAAGTTGAAATACCGAAGCGCTTGTTTCGATCATTTCGATACACAAGGTAAGTACTGTGTCGTAGAAATTGAAGTTCAATATTGGTTATAAGTAATAAGAGGGAAGTATTCGTCGTGGTATATAGGTAATAGTCTCCGGCGATTTGTAGGAATTCACTCGTACGCTTCGCAAGTATACCTAATGTATATATTATACATGTATACTTAGCTAAAAATTAATGGTTTTTTATTTGTACTTACTGTTCTAAAAATGTATATCATTTAATTATCGCATCGATAAAGTACGTTTTATTGCACTATCCGATTATCGTAATTAGACGAAGGCGATTATCGTTTCGCGTGCATCGCCTTTCGTTCGTCCAAACTCCGACCGTTGCCAATTATAATTCGCGGTAGAAAAATAGAATGAACGATGCGAGTGACGAAATCAAAATTCAGGCATTGTACCGTTTGATACACCGCGTTACGCGTCATATATATTATACACCGCGTAATAGATATAAACGATTTTAATCCATAAAACCGTTAAACGCGTTTCCCACTGGCCGGCGGCGCCGCCGGCACGGACAGGCAGGGCCGAAACGTTAAGTTTCAGCTTTTACACGCTTTTTCCTATACCTCGCAACTTAACGTTTCGGCCCTGCCTGTCCGTGCCGGCCAGTGGGAAACGCGCTTTACGACGCGTAACGCGAGTACATTAGAATGCGAGCACGCGTCCTGCAATTTTGACGCATCGTCATAGTTCTCTTTTAAGAAACTAGCAAGACCGAGGGGGTTCACCTAAAAATTCTGCGAGAACATTTAAAATATTTCGTTCGTGCGTTTGTTGCACGGTTATCGCACTTATAGCTACTACGTCCGATCGACGAAAAAAATAACGCCTCTGCGACGATTTTACGCCGCGATTTCACTTTCTTCCATACGATCAGGGAAACGCCCGGGTCGCGTTCCTGGTAAGTACTATTGTTCCAACAACGATATTTGTTCGTGCGCTTCACCATCGGAAATACTGAACGTTTCGATTCTCTTTCCGGGTTGGATTATCTTCTTTTGTCATAGCTTCGTATGCTTCACATTGTCTGTCCAGTAATTCTGTATTGTCATCGCCTCTAACGAATTTAGGAACGAATCATTGTCCAAGCTGTACATCTCCTCGGAATTATCCTGCGAAGCAAATTCTTTTTTTCACTATAAATCAACAATTACTCCAACTAGTGATGCAAACGATCTCCGAATGAAAAGCAAAGCGAATGAACGAACACTTACCCGAATAGTGGAATCGTCGATGTAGCCAGAACTATCGAGATTGCTGCATTTATCGCTATTTAGCGTCTGCGGTGGATTCAAATACCTACGCCTGTAACAATCATTTTTACTAAATACCATGCGAGAATTCATCACGCATTAGACAGAACCGGATACGTTCATAACGCGTTAATTATTATACCTGTACATAATGAATCCAAGGCTGCCCATTGTGCTGAGTAAAACTACAGTTGCCAAGCAGCTACCGGTAATGGCAGCAATATCTACAACCGATTTCGAATCACTCTCCTGCTTAGAGTTCTCGCTACTGCTGCTGCTGCTCTCAATGTAATCGGAGAGATGACCTTCCTGCACCTGATCCCTTTGGAAATCCTTAGGAAACGTGCTTCGCGCCCTGCTCAGCCGTGTCGATTCGCTCACCCCGACTTCAACATTAGCAAAAGACAAAATTGCTTCATCATCTTCTTAAAAAATACGACAATTTCTTTAGTTATAATAGAACTCGTGGAACTTAAAACGAATTTTTATATCTGTCAGCTATTTTACCTTCGAGAATTGATGCAGCTGTGCCGAATATCTGTGGCTCGATAAACTCCTCCTCGATCTCGACGTCGTCGGACCGATTGAACGTTCTGATACCGGAACTGCTCGCGGACGAGGCGGAGGATAAAAGCGACGAGGATTTTGTTTTGTTCAGTACCAGCCTGATTCGAGATACCTCTTCCTGAAGAGGTAACACCGTCAAATCCTCCACCTCGCTCGCGCTGCCGTTTCGGTTCCCGTTTTCATCGAGTTTCTCTTCTTGCTCGTACTTGGACCTGCTTCCTGTCTTGTTCGCCGTCAAGATCCAAGTGATCTTGCTGTCCTTCTTCATTGTCGGACTCCGATTTCTGTCCACGGTATCCGCGATCCGTTGCGGTGTGACGTTCTTAGCTCCGGAGTCCGGATTCACTGCGTTACTCGCGTTCCCGTGGTACTCCACTACGGGATTCGTACTGGTCTCGACGTCACCCGACATCGGTATAGAAATCGTGCTCGGTTGTCTGTCCATGATTACGGCCGTGTTTGTGGGAGGGTGAAGACCGATAGCTTTGGCCACGCGGAAGCTCTGTCGCGTTTCGGGGTCGTCCGTGTCGATACGGCCGATTTCTGGCGTGGTTTCTGAGCTCAGGTGATCCTGCACCTGACCACGCGGTTCCGCCGTACTCGACGGCACCGGGTTCCCTAGAATCACTGAGGAACCATACGTTTTTCATTGAATTACTATAAAATACGTAAATTTATTACAGAGTGAAGATGCTCACGTATATATGTAATAAAGAACTTTAAGTAGATTTTGTATTACATTAATTATATTCCCATAAAAAAATGTAAGCTAATTTTTCTGAGCGCTATATTTTTTATTAACGGATCGAACCCCTTAATGGATTAAATTGTCTTAATGTACTTCTACAATACGAGAAATCTTTAATATAGAAAGCGTATTCAAGAATTGTCAGACCTTGATCTCTGCAGTACGACTGTCTACATATTGTAATTTCACGCGCGTGAGGAAATTTTATCTGGACCGTGAACATCGCGACCCGGACCCGGTTCAAATTAAAGCTGGGGAACGCGTGAAAGGCGTGAAGAAGTAACCACATGTCGTTGATCGCAGCTATTTAGCGCTATTTGGAACGTACCGAGAAATTGAGCGGTAACCCAGAACCAGTGCATCCACCAATGCAGCGTCATCGCGTCATCTGTGTGTACCTGGAACAGAGAGGGACAGAGAACACAATAGAAATTAATTGATCACGAACATGCACGTTACGATTGCGTAACCGACTATAAAAACTCGGACAATAGTGACGATTCACCGCGTACAATTTGTTCTATTGCTCTGATAAACGTAATAATGAACTGCCTGTTTCGAATTTTAAGTCGATACAAATCAACACCTCGTTTCCCTTTCAATCAATTTTCAAGCACGTCTAATTGTCTGTTCCAAGAAACGTTTTGACGCGGACATTTCTCGGGGCGAACTACAATGGGCGAATTTTGATTCCATGCCCTCGCGTCGTGTGCCTGTCAGGACAATGGTCCATTAGGCAGGTCGATATGCGGAAATATCGGACGTCAACGTGGACAGAGTGCCGTTCAGGCTTTTACACATTCAAGAAGATTGATTTAGCACCCGCGACCCGAGGACTGGCGTCGGTTTTTAATAGAAGACCTGACAAAATCCAGCAGATAACAATGACCGTTCTCGACCTGATAAACGATTTTCTTATCGATCTTTTGTTTATCAGTTCATCGTTATCTATCGAAACACTAAAATCAGACTCGTGGTTGAACCCTCGCCATCCGGGAGATCAACAATTTGAATGAGTAATCGATCGCTCGCTCCTCGTTTCATCATGAATCACCGCCAGAAACAGAGAGGTAAGAATTTTCGGAATAGTGAGTCGATGAATCATATTCTCTGGACCAGAGAAACGGCAGAATTATGAAACGGTATTGCGAAATTTTTTTAGTATAAACCGAGGCACCGCAGTTGGACAGCAGATACACCGAAACAAAAGATAAAAGAAGATAAGATACGAGAAACGAGCCACATCTGTTAAAACAAGATGACAACTTCGACTCTGGCCTTTGTATATTAGGATCATCTCGTCCTTTCGGTTAGAAATCAATTTAAGTAAAGTTTTATGGTATATGAGGAACGATTTCCTGTGACGAGCGCGTTAATTAAAATCGGACGAGCTTTTTCAAGAATTTTATAGATCGCATTTAAAACGACGCAGTTTCGCCAGGTCCTTAGACAAAAAGATTTTTATACAGTTACTCGCGTAGACCGGTCATGCTCTCCCGACCGTGACCAGTTGCACCTGGATGCGCTAAGTATGTATAACGCGACGCGACATGCGTCTATCTCCGCGAACGATGTCACAATTCTCCTGACACTACGCCGGAACGGACAACTACGCGGTTACCGCTCCCTTTCCGCTCGGTTAAACGTTCCGATCGGTCAATCGAAATCGCAATCGATGATGTCAGAGAGAGGAAATGGTTTGCAGTAATCTCTCGGAGACGGCAATGACGGGTTGAATCACGCTGAATGCCGTGTCACGTGCTCCCCTTGGCATTGTGTAACCTTTCTGTATAACAACGTGAGGACCGAGTCTTGTTCAAGTAATTCCAGTCGCGCGAGCACCGACGTACAGTTCGATATAAAAATCGCGAATGACCTTCCATTCTCGAAACGAAAAATAATCTACGTCTTGTACAAAAGAACAAATAACTATTCCTAACAAATCTCATTACTTCGTTTCTATTACCGCATTGAAAAAAAATCACCGGGAAACGTCACTGACAGAGACTTGAACAGACCGCTCGCAAGTTAATAAGTGTCTCGTTAAAATGTTACGAGTCTGGTTCACGAGAGTGTACGCACGCGAGATCAAAAAGCGTGACCTGGGTCAAGCAGCCTAATCGGATGAATGAAACGCGACGTGCACAAGTTCCTGAACCGAGGCACCATGAGAAACTGCCGGATCACCGATTGAGCTGGGCACCGAATGAATCACGCGAGATAGCCGGGCACAATAAACGCGAGAACGTGTGGGTATTATCGATATCGAGGAACGCGAACATGATAATGAGAGACCGGGGGGACGACAGAGGGAACGTTACGCGAGAGCAGGAGACTTCCGCGAGCTTTGCGCTACTTGATTTCTAGACCAACGAAATATCCCGCTGATTCGCATTTTCTACACGGTGCGCGGGCTCAGCCGGTGGCCGGCCGTTTATTAATTCAATCGCAATTAAATCTGATGTTTTAGCGTAAATTACCAGGAACGAGAGGCTCGTTCCATTTCGTTTAGGGAATCTACAAAAAGATCTTGATGATTTTATTGAATAAACTAGATGCAGGAAGAAATAATTAATTATTATCAGTCTCTTTTATCAGGCTCGCTTATGAGATCCGATAAAAATGCAACAAATTTGTATCGGTCTCAGTCCACAAGCATCTTTCGTAAACGGTAGACTACATCATGAATAAAAATCAGAATAATGTTACAGTTCAAAAGAGAAAGGAATTCTGTATTATTTCATAGCCTACTTCCCATACAATTAATCAGTCTTTCGTTGTTAGAGAAGTATGAGCTTACATAAATATTCTATTCGAAATGCTTTTCCAATAGATCATACATTTTCTTGAGTTATACATTGGATAACATTGAGTATATTACATATCGTGAATTTCGAAGCCATTCAAGATCCAGTCGAAGGTCAACCTTGTCAGCGAGCAAATATGGAAAGTGAATCAAGTACGACTGGAGGGAACAAGTTGCCGAGATGTACTTACGCAACGTTTTTTTGCTACCAGTTACATCGAGATTGTGTGCTGCTCAGGAAACGCATTTCCCTCGAGCTCAATTACGCTCACGCTACGCTTCCTTCGATTAAATCGACTACGTAGTATGTGTATATCTTCTCCCAAATATACGAACAAGCTAATCAAAATCATCGGCCTTAATCTAGTTTTTATCGAGCAATAAAACTGAGGAACATTTATATTTATACGATAGAAACTCAAGCATACATATAAAAATGTTAAAATTTGTATCGCACGTCCTACTCGTTTTTATGGTAGTCGCAATTGCTTAATAATTCTTTCTCGGAGTTAATTTGAACGATAATTAAACACATGTGCTTTTATTAATTTTGTTCGCAATAAAAAAGAAGTAACAATTAATTTAATAACGTTGGATGTAAAATTCATGAGCCAGCGTTAACGTAGATGTTAAAAAAAATTAGGGAAATGTACTATGTACCATATACATGGATGATGTATGCATTTGTAACTTTTCGCAAGTAAAGTGGCTGTGTGACGCGGCATGAGCGTGCATTATCGAATAGCCACAGGCTGGCTCTGCGTTACTTCAGCTTTTCAGGCTAATGGCCATGAACTGATTAGCCCGGCGAGACTTGTAAGAGTTCCTCTCTGGCTGTCGTTCACAATGTTAACAGGCAATCCAGTTCGTCCCGAGCAAAGGTGAATTTCACCGATTGGCACCAGAGTCTCTAATTGCGTGTAATCACGTTCACCAATTGGGCAACTCTTTTTTGAATTCGGTCCCTCGATTTCTTCTTTCCTATGTATATGCTCTTTTTTTTAACTGTCATTGATCAATTCAGATTTTGCGAAATTATCGCTGCAAATTATTGCAACTGCTTACTTGTTGCCGCTAGCAAAACACGTTTGAAATAAAAATTGAAGGTATAGTAAAAAATATTGGAGTTAGAAGAAAAACGCATAGAAGAGGACGTCGGTTTCTACAACTTCCGTATAAAACTTTTTCGCTGGCTTCAAGCCTTTCAAGATTTTTAAGAAATATATACTCGATGCCGATTACCACCCAAAAGAGCGATTACCGACTGTTTTATGAATCCCATTGGGTCCCATTCGCTGTCGGCAGTTACAAAATAGCTTAAAGTAAACCGAGCTGGTAAACGAAAATGGAAAAACGAAATAAAATGGTAATAAATATTAATTTTCACTAGAAACAGATCGAGTTCTTCCTGTTTCATATTTTAGTTTCTATTTCGAGTTTTCACCCCCGGGGAAGACTAGTTCTGTTTGCAACAAGTGATCGTTAACACATCCGCAGTCATGTCGGTCAAGATAGTAGTTGCGTCGGAGTCTCTGAATGCATGTAGGTCGACGCGGTACACGCCGGAGAATTTATTTATCATTCTCTCAGCCCGGGCCCTAAGATCTTTAAAACTCGTTCCAAGGCGAGATCGGTGAAAGAATGCGAAAGTTCTTATTTTACGATATTGATTGAGCAACGACACGTAATTATGTTCCACCGCTCTATTCCGATTCAATTTGTATCCTATTCAACGTTGCATTTTCCTGTTACGTGTTTCGACGCAAAAGACATTAACTAGCTACCACGGAAAAACCGACAACCGTGTATTGTTTGAATTACTGGATTGCATAATATCGCAGCAGGCTTGCTCTGCTGGCTACCTACTCGATCGAATAAAACAGGTTTCAGATTCTGGATTATCCAGGGATTAGCCGTTCGATCGATATCGAATACGCGACTAAGGTCAGTCGGACTTTTTTTAAATTCGCACGTGGAAAGATTCGCCAGTTGTTTACTTTGATACGCTTGACACTCTTTTTTACGAGAAATCAATGAATATGCGGACCACCGTTTTTTATCGCTCGTCAAGCTCGTTATGTACTTAGGGTGAATCAATGTTGGAAGATCAAAGGCGAGGAATAATCATGAGAAAAAATGAAGCGAAGGAGACTTTTTCATGACGTAATTATCGAAAAGTTGCTGGAAAGTTGAATCTGGGCTTCGCTATATCGTCGAATTATTCTACCATGAAGCAAATTCCCGGTACTCTAGTAGGTAAAACGTCTTCCTGTAGCATGTAACCGGTAGAGATAAAAATCTACGTATCTCTAACCGAGCAGAATCATGAGAATCTCGGTCACGGAAGCGAGAAAACTAGGTAAATCGCGTTCACATTCGAACTTTGGTAATTCAATCCCGAGCTCCATTCTCTTCAGGGCGCATCTGAACGTTAGCGATCTTGCAAACATTTCGGTTCGTCTTTACTCGCATTGTTAAAATTCGTTTCGGTTCACTAACCGACTGTTTTCTTTCCTGATTTGCGCGCAAGTGGCTTCATGCTTTCACTCGCACCAGTCTTTTTTATTTCTTCCGTGTGCCGTCTTTCTTACAATTTGAATAGAATTTTTTGATCCGAAGGAACATAACTGTACCCGTACATAACTCGTACGTTAAGCCTGTAATCCAGAATTAGAACGAACCGACGCGACGGCGAACGAACGAGTACCTAACCGAATTAATCCAATTTCCTGGCGTCTATAACGAGATTTGCACATCCCGCGGGAACGTGCAATGATGATGAAAACTAGATTACCAAAAAACCATTCGAAGAATTGAAACGGACAGTCGCAAAAACTATTAACATCGCGGATTTTTATACAAAACAAAACGTTTATGGTATCAGTTTAAAATGCGTTTTAAATAAACATTTCTTTTATCATTCAAATATTTGCAAATTGTACGTTCATTTCCCTAACTACATGCATTGTAGACTACAACATGTAAGAGTAGTATATGTAAGAGGAGTATATAATTTTTGCTGCGAGAACCTATAAAAAATGTTACCGAAGTGGATGTTTGTTTCGGATGACACCAGAGTCGGCATCGATTGAGAACGGAAGATTCGGTTAAACTGTTAATTTTAACACGAGTTATTATTCGCCCTAAATCCCAAGGCCCTCCTTACAAACAAGTTTCAAGGTACGTAAGGGACTGTAGTGGTAATATTCAAGTATTCGTGCTTCAAAGGGGTACCCTTCAAGTATTCGTGCTCCGAGAGGGTACCAATCAAGTATTCGTGTTCTAAGGGGATACCCTTCAAGTATTCATGCTCCAAAGGGGTACCCTTCACGTATCCGCGCTCCAACGGGATACCAATCAAGTATTCATGTTCTAAGGGGACACCTTTCAAATATGCGTATTAAAATATAACTACTAAATTACTATTACTAAAACATAGTCAGTATGGCTGCTACCAACTGAGTTCGACGAACCTCTATTTTTTTTCACGATGAGCTTGCGACATTCCTTTCTCCAAACTTCGTTTGCAATTCGATCGGCTGGAATCCAATGGAATCTATTGTCGTCGCTTCTATCTACTCCAATCGATCACATCGGTCGAATCTTTCGTTTTCCGAACCGTAGTGCACATTTCCGATTTTTTGACAATAGCTGACGCAGCGTAAAGCCGTTTTAAAAGTTACTCTCTGCCAATTCTATATTAATATCCGAGTTATTTTAAATTAAGGATGTATTGGCTATACAGTCAATCCCAAAAGTTTATATACCTTAGAAAAACGCATTTCCTATAATTAAAAAGAAACCAGACGTCGGAAGAACAATGCTAATAATAAATAG